AGATACTCTGGGACACAAGTATAGTTAATCTGTTTTTGACCTTAACAATTTACTACTTACCTATTAAATCAATTCTGGGACCCAAGTAACATTTAGTAACACCTATATACCGCTATACGGTACTTTAAAGAAAAACATGATAGAAATATGTACACTATTAAATAACGACTTTAAATACTACAGTAGCTGATGACGTAAATCCTCACTTCAGTCCTATTTGAATTTATCTAAACTTAATATTATGGTATTTTCTAGATTAAATTCTCAATATATATTATATATATATATATATGGTACCGTCAAGCATGTAAATTGTAAATTAAGGAATTAACTTTAATGAAGAGTGCATAACGATATTTCCGATAAAATTTAACCATATACCTACGATGTTGAGTAGGAAATACGTAAATTTAGGCGTTCGCACGGGGACAGTAGATGCAGCATATGCCTATCTAATTAGTAGGTACCTATAGGTATACTATAGTAATAACATACTTTCGGGCTATAAAATATGTAGACGATCGTACAGTATTAAGTAAAAGATAGCCGTCCATCGGATACATAGTAAGTATACAATATGGACTGCGATAATGGACAAATTATTTGTAAGGTATAATATATTTGTACCCACACAGTACCCACGCGTACTATATAACACATTGCATATTGCATAACATAATATAATATTGACACATATATAATATTTACTGTTTAGGTACCTATATTATCGATCAAATTTTCTGTACCATAGCAGCGTCATTTAAAATGTTTAACCCAATATAAATATTTTGTTGAAAAAAATGATCACATTGTTTACCAGTAGGTAAAATTAAAGTAATAAATTCCGTAGTCATAGTTATAAACATATTAAAAAAATATTTGATTTTTACAACATTGCCTGTATTGTCTGTTAATGAGGCATTGATAATACCGTGTTAGGAATTAATGATATTGGCTAGGTATTTGCTTTACTATATTTTATATTGAATCATGGACGGTACCATACATTATACTTATATATATATAATAATATATTTAATTAGTTTGCATATATTATAATTATTTCGTATTATTAAAAAGGTATTACCACCCCCTCGTGTTGCAACGCTCATCAGATCCATTCAGCGAAATACCCACGGAGATTACAGTTGCCTCGGAGTAGTAGACAAAACTACACAGTTTTATTTTATCTAACTTCATATTTTTTTGCCCTATCCTCTCCGCAGATTTAGAAGCAACTTATAAGTAGTATCCGTCGACTATCACTCACTTTTTAAACCTTTTGTAATTATACCTCTTAGACATGGTACTTTAACTTTATTAATTATTTATTTTAATTTTCAGACATAAGTACTATTACCACAAACTACGAATAATTATTAAATGTTCATATTATTGTTATTACACGGTAATTAATCATTATTTAACAGACACACTTCAATATATGGCCACCGTAATGAAATTAAATGGTTCAATCCTTGCACAATTACATTAAATATCCGTCAATTCAATCTTCCGGTTTAAACTATTATATATTTTTAATTTTATATATTATTACACAGTTTACAATCATATATTATATATATTATGTATATACTAGCTGATCCCGTGCAATTCGTTGCCCATTAAAAATGCCAACTTTGTATGCAGATCCGTGTTAAGGTGTGGGCAAAGGGGGCAATTATTATCCCCGGGTGCGACCTGTGGGCCCGTAAACCATTTTTGCCCCGGGGCCCTGAATTGATGGACACGGCTCTGTCCCAAAATCCCTGTTTGAGCACTTCCCGGGGCTGGTCCTCTCCCTTTTTAAATTAGCCTATCTTCAGCCCAGAAGTCTAATCTATATCCATACCAAATTATCCTGTGCACTTTGTTGCCCGGCAACCAATAATTATTATTATAGTAGCTTCAAAACCAGGGGCGGAGTGGCCGGTCTGGAAATGGGAATTTTCCAGATGGCCTGGACCATACTATGGCCTGGTGGCCTGGCCATTTTGTTAGATTTTTTTTTAAATTTAATTTAATTTACAAAATATTAGTTAATGCTAAATGTTTGTTTCTATTAAATTTTTTTTTTTAAATTAATTAATTATTAAAGCTTTGGATATAAAATTACAAAATATTTGGCACATAAATATAGACATCAAATAAAATCAAAGCAATATAATATTGTAATATTGTAATAGGTCGGTTATTTTTATAATAAAACACCCATTTTAAACATTGAAGTATTTAAAAATTAAGCTGAGAAATTCAATGACCAATGATTATCTTGAGTCTTTTATGCTTATGGCCATTGAAAATAAAATTCTCATGGAAATAGATAACAATATTATTATAAATGCAGTTGGTGAGAAATCTAATCTATTATCTAAATTATTACTATGAATGTATAAATCTTTTTCATTATATATTGTTTACAATGTTTGTATATATCTATTACTTATTACCTTATATCTACTATACCTAAACAATTAAAACACAATGTATAATATAATTATTAATATTTCGTTGATTTCAACTATTAAACCATACCTACTAATTTTATTTTTCAGACTTTCAGGAATAAGTAGGTACTTAGTGGTATATTAATATTATGTGTTAGAAGACAGAAGTTAAAAGAAATAGCAAGATAGTGATTGAAATACTTTTATAATACTAAAAGTAGTTTTCAAATAGGTAAATAGAAAAACCAAATTCGAGCTTAGCGAGAAAAAAAATGTTGGTGGGTGGCCTGGATAAATTTTAAACCCCCGGCCTGGATTTGGTTCCCACTCCGCCCCTGTTCAAAACCCATGGCAACCATTTATAAATTTAAAACAATTCCATCAGAAATCTCAAAATAATATATAAATGGTTGCCATGGTAATATGGACACACACACACAGACAGAAATCTTAAAATAATATTTGAATGGTTGCCATGATAATATGGACGCACAGACAGACAGACAATAGACATACATTCATTTATATATATATATACTAGATAGTAGATATAGATATTAAATTAACTTAAATCTGTTGAAAATGAATTCAATATTATGGAACAAATGATTCGGTATTTTAGATATAATAAATGTAATAAATAATAATAAATGTCGCTAGGCAATATAATAAATAGCAACCATTTTAAACCAATGGTAGCCAATAATTATTATTAATTATTATAATGGCTGCCAACTCTTTATGAATAAAATATTCTACATGTCACCACGGCAACCATTTATATACATAACATTCCATCGGAAATTTTAAAATAATATATAACTGATTGCCATGGTAATATGGAGACACACAAAACATTCCATCTGAAATTTCAAAATAATATATAAATGGTTGCCATGATAATATGGACACACAGACATTCATTTATATATATATACTAGCTGATCCCGTGCACTTCGTTGCCCATTAAAAATACCAACTCTATATGAATAAAATGTTTTATTTTATAATATAACGGTTACCATAACAGCAATTTTAAACCAATTATTATTATAATTATAGCTTTGAAACCCGCGGTGACCAAAATCTCAAAATCCCTGTTTGAGCACGTCCCGGTGTTGGTCCTCTCCCCTTTTAAATTAGCCTATCTTCTGCCCAGAGATCTAACATGTCTATATGTATAAAAATATTTGATCCCGAGCACCACGTTGCCCATTAAAATTGACAACTCTATAAGAATAATATGTTTTACATAAAACAATCTAAAAGGTTGCCATGGTAATGTGGACACACACGGACTATATATATAAAATATCTGATCCCATGCACTTCGTTGTCCATTAAAGACCTATAATTATGAATATAATAGCTACAACACTCATGGTAACCATGGTACCTTTGGTAACCATGGTAACATTGGTAACCATGGTAACTATGGATCATGGTAACCTTAATAACCATGAAACCTTAGTAACCATGGCAACCTTGGTAACCATGGTAACATGGACACACTGACATACATTCATTTTTATATATATAGATATATATAGAAGATTGTATTTATGGTGACAAATTTATGTATTTGTACATTAAAATTTTTAAATTAGATTCAAATATTTATAAACACCAACTACCTATATCAAGTTGCATCAATAATATCTACTGTACGTCTATACCTACCTACCTAATATACCAACTACCTAGTTGTAAAAAAATCGAAAGCGATATTTCAATGATTATCTGAATCAAAAAAATTAAATTATAGGTAATAATTAAATTAATCTATTAATAGAAATGTATTGTTTTTATTTATATTAACAAATAACAATAAATATTATCTTAAAACGTATTCTTTACAACTTAGGTATAATACTAATATATAATTTACCACTTAAATATTGTAGCCACGGTGCATTTAAAAATAATTACCAAAAATCATTTCTAAATGAGACAAGGTTTGTGAATTTACACGTTTTACATGTTTAAAAAACCTTGTTATTTTTCTACACACTTAATATATTTTACTATAACTTTTGTGTTAAACAAATTTCTTGATTTATTATGTTAAAATGTAAATCATTTTTCACACTCGAGCGTTAAATACTACAATATTTTGTATATAGTATATTACACACCTCTAATTATTATTAAGTTATATTTTTTTAAACTGTAATTGTTATTAACCAATTCCCCACTATTATGATATTGTAAAAATGTGAAGTGTTTCAGTTTTTTTATGTCATTCAAACCACTGTATTATTATAAAAGTGTTCAGAGTCTTTAATATGCTATTTATTTATCGTATGTATACTGAGGAGTACCTACATTCTATTTAATGATGTATTAAACCGAAATGATACATTTAAATTACACTACTCTATCATCTAGAAATCAATCACATAGATACTGAATTATTTTAATTGTGTTATTTTAATTACTTTTTAATTTTAATCTTATACAAATTTCAAATTGTACTAATAAAAATATTTATGTAGATAGGTATCAATATTAATTTTTTTCAATAATTATTGTACATATTTTAATACAATAAAAATGACAAATCTTGATGTGAAACATACAGAACCGGTTAATTCTCAAGAAATGAATTCTATTCAAAAAGGTTAGTAAATTACATCATTACAATAATTATATTATGTAGGTACCACTTTAAACAGTGGTTACCTATAGCTCAAAAAATGTTATGTCAATAATAAGTTAAGGCAGTTGTTTTAAAAACAAAATATACAATGACTAGAACTCTGAGCGATAAAACGTTTAAGATAGAATTTACTCATAAAACTGATAAAATATAAACTTTAACTTTCTGCATGTACCTAATGCAATATACTATAGGGTAGGTACATTGTAGTAAATAAAAACGTATTTACTGTATTGATTTTTGATATTAGAACTATTTCGTAATTATTTAATGTATATCTAACACTGGTTTGAACAAAATAAAAAATTTAGTGCATTTTTTCTAATTATTGAATGAATTCGCTAAGCGGAATAATGCTCAAAGTTATAATATGAATTTCAAAACAATCATAAAATGCAGTCAGATTGAAAGTATATTAAGCCACGATCATTGAAGTGGAAATTTTTTTTATGCTACCCCACTTACTTTATATTATTATTTTTCTTGTGCCGGGATGGAGGGACGATCGGGGCATTTTTGCTCTCGGAAACTGAATTAATCTTTCAATCGTTGGGATTGGGGGTACCCCTGCCTCCCGTACCACAAGCGGACGAATGATTCTTTCGAAATTCCACTACCAACGAATATCTGATGCCCGGGTGCATATTTAGTTAATAGTTATTCATGATTATGTAAATAAAAAAAGATACTAATAATAATACACATCGTAAAATATAGCTATAATAAATAAATGACAAATTATAGTATTACACTAGTACACTACCCATGTGTAAAGTGAGAATTGGATCATGTATTTTTTAAGTTCATGTTAACATATATTAACAGTTATAAATAGTACAAGCATGAAGCAACTTTTAGTATATTTAGACTTGAATGGCATGATAACAAAATGTAAACAAATATATTAATTAATATCAAACAAATAATACAAATAAATCGATTAATAAAATATTATACGAATAATTTATTAATGTATGCCAATAAAAAATGAAATATTTAAGTCTTAATGGATGAGTAAAATAAACAAATTAATAATTAAACTAATAAATTGAGATTTTTATAAATAGAATCATCGTACATTGGGTAGTCAAATTATTATAGACACTTATAAGTTATATGTTATAGATAGCTAGTGTGAAAGTTATATGATATGACGAATGGTATTTTCCAACCTGATAAACATTAAAATCGAACTTCTTCTAAGTTGTTATGATTAAAATATGATTACTATATGTCCATAAATATTTAATAATGTGCCAGAAAATCAGTCAGGGAACAATTACACAGTAATTACGGGAGGGTCTGAAATTGCGTCCGATCTGAAATCTGTATTGTGATGACCACGATGATAATGATAACATTAATAATAATATTCTCGTTATGGTTTCAGCCGGATCCTCATACGGGATAGGGTTCCGGCACCTGCAGAGCTTGTTGCTGTTCCTATGCGTGGTCAGCGGATACCTGATCCGGGTGAACCTGTCCGTCACCATTGTGGCCATGAACCCCGTGGTCAACTCGACGGACTACTTTCGGGAACTGGCCGACCACGTGCCGATATTCGGGTGGACCAACTCGATGCGGTCGGTGCTGCTCAGCACGTTCTTCGTCGGCTACCTGCTGGCCAACTTCCCGGCGTCCGTGCTCGGGTGCAGATTTGACAACAAGACGCTACTGGCGTGCAGCATGACCGTCTCGTCCTTGCTGACCATCATCAGCCCGCCGGTGGTATACTCGTATGGTGCCCCCGCCCTGGTGGCCATCCGTTTCGCGCAGGGCCTGTCGTCGGCGTTCATGTTCCCCATGGTGCACGGCATCATGTCCAAGTGGGCGCCGCCGCACGAGCGAGGCCAGTTGGTCGGGTTCATCAACAGTGGTATACAGCTGGGCACCATGATCACGATGGCCCTTTCTGGTGTGCTGTGCAGCAGATCGGCGGGCTGGCCGAGAGTCTACTACCTGAGCGGCGCCTTTGGGTTGGCGTGGACGGCCATCTGGCTACTGCTGGGCTCCGGGTCGCTGTCCACGCACCGGTTCGTCAGCCAGGCCGAGAAGGACTACATCCAGAGGTCGCTCACCAACACCGTCGACCACGATAGACGGGTGATCAAAATATTATGTATTTATATTTGTGATGTAGTCGAAAATATAATGAAAACCACCGAAACTCGACTCACTAAAAAACCTCAGAAGTATACATGTTCCAATATTAAAATATGCATAGTTATAATCCTTAAAATCTTCGATTAATATATAAAATGACTATACAATGATCCAATATTCACTTAGAGGGAGGTTTTTGATAATCTTGTAGCAAATTGGATCTGATTTGTACCTACTTTAAAGAGTCAAAAATAAAAATGTCCTGTAACTACTGTCTACTACTTTTCAAAATAATCGGAAAAAAGCTGTATTTGTGTTACAATTTAAAAATTAATAACTAAAGAGACTTGACATTTTTCACAAATATTTAATAATATTTGTATAAGTTATGAAAAAAAAATGTTTTGGCAATTTATAGAAGTATAGAACTATAAACAAGTAGAAATGATAATATAAAAACATTTAAATTTTTTCCTATTCATCAAAAAAATGAAAATTAATAAAATACAAAACTGAAAATATTTTGTAATTATCAGTCATCTTTTATTATAAAAATCATACATTTACTCGTAATCTATGTTCGATAGTAATAAAATTAATATTTTTATGGGGTAAGGCATTTTAATAAAATGTTGCATAACGTTTTATGATATAAGTTATAAGTATAAATGTATAATTAAGCTCTTCAATGTTAATTTTGTATATTAATTCCTCAACAATTTCATCAACAAAGAATTAACAAGGGATCCACTATGTAAATTTATTAAGAGTAGGTACCATAAATTATTATAATGTATACAATATTGATTATAATAAATTACTACACTAGATTAGTTACATTATTGATTTTAAAATTGAATAATGATTTAGATAACTTTATCATATCGTAAAAATGTTATTCAATATTAAGTCTGGGATTTAGATTGCTGACATTTTAATCACACATACCTATACTCAATTGCATATAAATAATCAAAAATATAAAATCTTACATCCTGGGTAAGAGGCCAAAAAAAATCTTTTTTGTCACTTACGGATAGTAAATTAAATTCTATGGACATAGTAGGTTCATAATAATATATAATTAAGACTTTTTAACAAAAAAAAATTCAAGAAGATATTAATACTTATTATTGCCTAGAATTGATGAAATTTAAAATATTGCAATCACTAATCTCCAAAATCCATCAGTAGTACCCCTCTGGTCTTCTATATAGTTTTATGTAATAGTATGCAATCACAGATCATAATGAATAAAACTATGCAAAGCGAATTGTCTTCAATGAAGTGCAAAAATAAATTAAAACTTGCAATATAAAATGTTTTATTATACCTAAATATGTATGTTAGATATTAATAAATAAGTAGTGTTAAACTTTAAACGTATAGTAGTATTAGAAAAATGTTCACAAAACTTTTAAATTTCGATGAAAATATTTCTTCAGAACTTTATAAATATACAATATGCATGATAATTATTATAATACCCACCCTAGTGGCTAGTGCTTACATTGTTGTGTTAAAACTGTGTAAGATTAATATGACACAAATATAAAATATTAGTATAGGATATCTAATACTTTAAATGTCATAAACTAATTCTAAGAAACCTAAGAGCATTGTAAACGTTTCGCAAACTACAATCCGAGTTATCCAAGCAGGTAATAACATATTATATTTTATTTTTCAATGTGATATTTTTAATCAGACAGTATATTGATTTAGTTTACATTTTATGACTTTCGTACGCCAAAAGTAGAAAAACAGTAGATAATAATGGTGACCTAATGCCCAATAATAGTCACAACACAATAAAGTCGTCAATACTGAGTTAAGGTATTTTATTTTCTATTATAAACTAATATTATTTCTTTATCATAATAAAATTAGTTTAATCTTATAATTTATTTTGTGGTATTACTTCTAATACTCCATAATATAATACAAACTACAAAGTATATATTATTCGAACGAAAGAGTGAACGACGATAATGTGATGGAAGTCCATGATTAGAAAACCATTAGGACCAACTATTATAAACTATAATATTTATGAGATAAGTTGTGAAAAAAAATCTAAAACAAGATCTACAATTTAAAACTTTCCTCATTCCGACAGGGTTAGCCTCAAAAATTATAAATATTAATAAACTATTCTACAAAATTAATAAGAATTGAATAGTTGCAAACTGAATTAACATAATAAAGTAATAAAAATATAGTTTTCAGAAAACCTATCCCACAAAAATACATATTGAAAATATAGCACAGATTATTCTGCAGATGTACCTACCACTTCATTACTTGAAAAAATAAATCGTTAAAATTAAAATTATAGATTTCCGACTAAAATTTGTTACCTACTTACGCTATTAGGTATTTAGAGTTAGAGGATAAAAATATCAGCTATTTAGCCATGTGTAATATGTATACTTTAAGAGCAATTTCAAGACTTATTATAGGTTCACTTTCAAAAATCCTTCTGTGTTTTTCATCTTACAATTTTCCGCTATCGCTCGCAACTCTTTTTCGGTCAAACCCTATACATGAGCGTGCATGCAACAACCATGAGTTGTGACTCCAATACGCATATATTATGTTAAACTTGATTTAATTTAATTTTAAATATCAAAATTGTAAAAAACGACAAACTGATTTTTCTCCTTTGTGATCAGTTGTCCGATACTCCATGGAAATCCATATTCACGTCGTTGCCAGTGTGGGCCACCACCTTAGCGCACATTGGCCATAACTGGGGCTTTTGGCTACTGTTGACCGAGATGCCAACATTCATCCACACGGTGCTCAAATTCGATATTAAGGAAGATGGTATACTATCCTCATTACCATATCTCGCCATGTTTGTGCTTCAGATACCGGTCACCTTCATTGCCGATTTTCTGAACAAACGAGAAATCACCAGCCTCACGGTGTCTAGAAAAATATGGAACACAATATCCATGTGGGGTGGCACCATCGGCTTAGTCATGCTAGGTTTCATTGAAGACACACACTTGACAATCATCCTTTACGTGTTCATCGTAGCCATAGGATGTTCATCAAACGCCGGGTTCAACATAAATCACATGGATCTATCGCCCAACTATGCAGGGCTCCTAATGGGAATCACCAATACAGCCGCAGCTTCCGGAGGGATCATCGCCCCTCTGTTCGTCGGGCTCGTTGTCGACGATCAGGTAAAAATCGACTCAAATCTTACGTACATTACATAAGTCTGAGACTAGTTAAAGCCATCTGTGCAGTCCACACAACATTAACCTACCTACTAATTGTATACCGAACTGTATTATATTATAGTGGGTATGGGTATGTGTATAGATAATCAACATTGTATTTCTGTTTATCAACCATATACGATTTTTCAATTCTGTTTATGTTGGTTACTTATAGTTATATATATCAAATAATTGTTATTGTATTGTTATATTAATTATTAATATTTAGACTTCAGTTGCGGAATGGCGAATCGTGTTCATCAGTGGTGCAATAGTGCTATTCATAACAAATTTGTTTTTTATTATATTTGGCTCAGCCGAGACCCAGCCTTGGAATTCATTGCAAAATAAAGGTACAGTTTATTTTTAACTGGTATACAACTATACATATTAACTTAACGATTATTTTCATTTTATTGGTTCTTAAAATAATATTGGTAAAAATCACTAAAGATAACACTTTAAAATACAGTCAAATATATAAGTAACTAGGTAGGTATTAATTTACTGTAGGTACTTATACAAATAAATTAATAACGAATAGGTATACAAAAAATTATTGTAATGTAATATTAATTGTATTTTTTAAATAATTACATGCATTTTAATGTATAATTAATAAACTGAATGTATATTGTCATATTTTGTTATAGATTCTCTAAAAATGGATAATACTAAACAAGATATTGAAATTGTTGGATAACATAACACGCATATCATAATATGCAATGTACCCAACGTCAGTATACCTACTACCACATATTATTATGTATGATTATTTGTCATTTATATTAAATATGTACCTATAAATATAATATTGATTATGATCACGTCATTATAACATTGATACCATTATGATTTACGAAATTTAAATTACTTCAATGACAAAATGTAATTAAAAGTTCAATGTTTAAGGCTCTCACTTTATTTTGTTTTAATTTTGTCCCTAATTTATAATTTTAATAAATACCAAATAGTTGTTATTTTTTTACAATAAATGTATATTTCTTTCTCAACTTCTTCTTGTATTATGCATGATTACCTACCTACCTACATACTAATTTTAATTAAAATTATATTAGTTATAACATTGTGGAACGAAGCACTACCTAAAGCATAAACGTTAACAACAAGAGGACAAGACAAATGTGGGAAAACACACACCTCAAGACGAAAAGTACATATTATTTTGTTTAAGTTTCAAGAACTTTTAGATAGGTACTCGTTTACGATTTCAAGTGTTAGGATAATTACCTATTTTTTCAACCTACATGAATTAGTTATATCATGTTAAAGCAATTGCAGTGACGTTAAAGGTACAAAAAACGTTGATTATTAATACAAAAATGATTGACACTAATGCACTATTATAGGTAGGTACTCCCGGAATTCTAAGAAATTCTATTTTTTTTATCTGTATTGGGCGATAGGCTAAAGCACATTGAAGGATTACAATTTACTTATATTATAATCCTTGGTTTGTAATGTTTGTATACTCTACATGTTAGTGAATTATAATCAATGAAATCCGGTTATATTTGTTGTTATTTATTAGCAATCGACAGTCATAACTGCTGAGTGATGTTTAGGTACCTATAGCCGTATAGGTAACCAACACAAAACTATAATAATACGGAACCAATATAAATAAGCAGAGCGCCAGAGCAGGACTTATACATAGATTATTATGTATACACATGAATACTGAATAGGACATACCACATACATTTCACAGGATAGATTAAATTTTATCTATTATATGTGTGCATTGTACTTGAATGTGGTCGAAGAGCATACTATAGTTAGGTACCAAAGTGATGACATGCGATAAAGGTTTTGATATCCTCATCACTAATATTATCAAATTATAATATTAATACACAGAATAATAACTTTAAAACAAAATATGAAAAAAAAAAAATAGTTTGTTTTTACAGCAACTGGTAATAACAAAAATAGAAATAATAGGTAGGTATTGAAATTGTACCATGTATTATAAAATAAATTTCGTAAAATGTAATTAAGAGCTATAATATGTTTTTAATGTACCAACATATTACGTTAAACGCTATCTATCTATATATATACAATTAAAAAATTCTAAATATTAAGTACCTATAGGGCTATACTTATAGGCTATATCCAACATACTATCTTGTATCAATCGTTATCTTTAAAATAAGTACATATGCACATTGCAATTTTTTCCCTAATTTTCTTTCAAATATTCAAGTTATTCCCGTATTCATTCTTAATTCAAGTATTTAAACAATATTCGAATAATATTCGATAAAACAACCGTCCTAACCATAATATTATTCAGTGGTCGGGAGTATCGCGCTAGTTGTAGCGACACAACAGTAGCGGGAGCGATTAACGTAGCTTCGCTACAATACACCTAATGTAGCGATGTATACTCACTTTAGTGCGCTAGAAATTGTCGATTAGCGTAGTGAAAATTACCATTATTTTGTCGCTACTTTCAGCCTATTTGGTGATAGTTAAAATAGTATGATAACTATATAATATATAGGTACATCAAAAACATTTAATTATTAAGTGTTGTGTAGATATAATTTAAATAAACAATCCGTTATTTATATAGATAAATGTGAAAATGGAAATCTTTGTTACGGCCGCTAATGGGTTGGATCCGAAATTACTTATTCAATCGTCAAGGCGTCGACCAGGTTTTTTTATATTAAAGTGGACATCACGGAGAAGGTTTTAGGCATGCATTTAGTACGATGAAGTTTTTTTCTGTTGTGTTTGTAATTGTCAGGACAAGGCTTGTATGAAAAAGAAAATTTTAGGAAAATCCACCGGAAAAGTAGGAAATCTGGATGGAAAAAATACCATTGTCCAGCAAAATAATGAACAAAAATAATAATGATGTATTTTTGTTCATTGTAAGGTTGCAATGGTTATGATTGAATATATATTTTCAGACCTGTCTATTATATTTGGTCAAAACCATATAACTTAGTAAAAATGGTATTCCTAACACTAATTATCTTACCGTTGTCTCGGGAAGTGGGAACCTACACATACACATCATAAACAACTGCAACGTGTTAATAAAACATTCGTAATTACTAATAAGCACCTCGCGATTGGATTCCCTACCTGAAAATATACTGCTCGCATAATCACAAGAGTGTCTCACGGCCCACGGGCAACGCCGGGCGGGTTGGCTATATAGTAAATAATAATATTTTATAGTATTATAGATAATCGAACATGTTCTGACTGACTCACTGACTGATCAACGAAGTGTCTAAATAATGATACCTTGAGGCTTGAAATGTTCACGGTACCTTCGTACCGCCATGTAAGTGTGCACTAAAAAAGCATCTTCCAAAATTGAAAATTCCCATTTTAAAGTGGTGCTTGCACAAGTATTTTGAGATTTAAGACGATCGATGAAAAAGTTTTGAACACGCCGAATATTAAATAACGAATTGAACAATGTTTGAATCAAATAGAAACTTTTGGGGATTTCCACTTTACCATCCGGCACTTTTTGAGCTATCCATTTTACCACCAGGCACTATAGGGATCCTCACTTAACCACCAGCTGGACGGAATAAGGTCGCTTTCCGAAGCTTGAACCGTCATCAAAAACTGAACTTTCGGTGTTGGCGTGAAAAAAAATTATTTTGATTACAAGTGTAAGAGATTTAAATCACACTATTTTCGATTTTCATGTGATATTAGATAGGTCATCTCATATTATAATATATGCATATAGCCATATAGGTGATGTTGAGTTGTGACTTGTGGCCAGCATCTCATGAACTGTAACTACCTACCTACCTATAGTTTTTATATTTGTGTGTCAACTTATGCCTTATATATCTGTAACACCAATAGCTCATCGTAGATGTACCTCATATCGTATTATATAGTATAGTAGTGCAAGTTAATTTAAGTGAATATAAGAGTTTGTTGTTATAGGTAAGTCGTTAATACTTATTTTATATAGTAACATGTAAATACATAGATTTTAGAAAACTTAGTTTAAAAAATACACACTTTCTTTAAAACTTGTTCAAATAAATATTTATTTAATATTTTTATGTGCTTCAATTAATTATATTTTTTAAACAATATTAGGTATCTTATATAAAAAATTTTCAAGGATTAACAAACATTTTGGCTAGGTATTACAGTGACTAAAAGAATCTAGTTAATTTTATAAAATAGTTTTTAAATCCAAAATACAATCATTATAATTCACAAATTAATAAACAATACATTTTTAATCCAAAAATAGTAATTTTATTTACCTTGTGATTTTATTAACGGTGGGATGTATATAGCCGGTATTATTAGTGCTGGTAGATTGATCAAGTCAATGAATATTCGGTATGAATCACTGAAATTAAAAATTAATAAAACAATATTCAATAGAGAGCTAAAGGTCCTATAAAAGTTAATTATTAGTCTATTAAATTAATACATGTTTAATGCAATTTTTGACTCTGAGCGGAAATTAAATTTTTTTTTTGCTTGTAAACCAAAACCCTATACTCAAGCCCTAGACTTGAATTTCATGACATATTTATATTTTAATTTTCTAAACATGTTATAATTTTCAAATTATTTTTTATCTCTTTGGGCTATTTTTAGATGTTTGACATTTGCCACTCTATTATAGTCTATTTTCGATTTTGATATAAAAAAATGTTTGTTTGTAAATCTAAAAGCTTAAACATTTTACAGAAGTTTTTCTTAATAGTTGTTCTTACAGAATTTAAAACACATTAAATATAGGTACTCAACAGGCACATTTTTTTTTATAAATGTTTCAAGTTCAAATTAATGAATAGGTATTTACTTATAACTTTTTGTGGATGCTTATATTATAATATGTCAACTTACCATAATGTAGACCTTAAATATTCTGAACCCGTAGTACCACCCGTTCCGGAACTATACGATCCAATCATCTTGTGTACCATAACGAAATGACTGTCTGTAAAATAACTTGAAATTAATTTTGACTGTCAATCGTCATACGAAATATTTAAGTTCTAGATCATTATATTGTATTATTACATATTACAAATAATGTATTAGATACCTACTTACAGTTATCAAATAAAATATTAACAATATATTACCGATCTATAAAATAACTCAACAGTTATAATTTTATTTAAATATCAATAAGTTAAGAATAAAAAATAAATAATTTCAGGTAGAATTCAAAATATTTATGTAAACCAAATCCAAAATGCAACCGTTTATATAATATTATCATACAGCGCTTGTATTATATAGATACCTAACTATTAGACTTCTATAAATTCAAATTTGAAACATTATTATAATTTATTAATAAAATACTTACATCTCCACTTTGATAAAAGCGTGTCGATATCCACCAATGATTCTAGTATTCTGTTGGCCAACGTATACCCTTTTTCGTGTCTGTACGCATATACTATTATGGCACCCTTTAGAGCCATATGCGAAAACGTTCGATTCCCCTGTTCGACTAGGCGTTTGTGCTGGTCACATTTAAACACAGAGTCCATAAGATTACGACGTTTCTCCAGACAAGATATATCAGGCTAAATGAAATCAAAAATTAACAACGGTATTATGTATAGAATATTTAAGTAATTAATTTACATGTTCATTTGTATTGTTAAAACGATAAACTAGATACATTTAATGTATACAGCTTCATAAGTATTATTATTAGAACATTCAACATACCTCAGAGGATCCTTCTAACCAGTGATCCGCTGCTCTTCGATACTGGTCCCACACAATATTATCTTTTAACATAGGAGTAGATTCGAGCCAATGACAAACTAAAGTGAATAAGCTGGGTTCAGCCGAAATGCGTTCGAGTTCATCATATTTCTTAGCACTAAAGCAGTCAGTGTACGATTTACAACAACTGACACGGTTTTCCTTAACATTTGCATACAAATAAAATGTGTTATAAATAATTAAGAAATTCGTGTTTTGAGATAGATATTAACACGTTAAGGCCAGGTTGGGTGGTGAAGCATGATTGACCATATTATATTATTATAACCTTTTTTAGCAATATGATTGAGCCTAGAATAATTTAAGCGACGTTGCCACATTGACATGTCGAAATATTTCAATTGACTATTTTCACGTATTATACCATCAATTGATATTATGATACATTGATACTGAACTTAAACGAGCCACGAACCGTAAGCCGAGCTCAGACGTATCGACAATGTTATCGATTAATAAATTAGTTCCGGAGCAATAAATATTAGTTTTATCGGTAATATGCTGACCGTTATAGATGCGACGTTTTAAACATTTAGTATTAGTAGAAAATATAAGATAAGTAACATTTCCAAAATTACTATAGAAATAATTCAGTTTATGTAGGGTTCGACCACTTTAGTCGTGTCAAATAGTGAGTTAAAAAATGTTTCAGTTTATTTTTTAATATTGATATAAATAATATAACAATAATTTTATCGGAAACTTTCAACTCGTACTATATTTTGAATTATTACAATTATTTAAATTGTATGATAATATTTTTCAAAATTGAAAATGGCAACGCAGAATTTTTTATGTTCAATCATGTAGGTTCTTTTGTATTTCTACATCTTTATTGACATGCTGACAAATTTGCTCAATCGTGTACCTAGTAGAAAGGATGTTTTATGTTCAATCGTTTTGTAGCCAGATTAGGTTAGATATTTTTAATAACAAATCGTATAGTATTGACTGTTTTACTTTACAACATTCATTCATAAAAATAATATTGTATCATACATTTATAAGTGATAAATGATAATCCAATAGATTCATATCATTAGATTTTTCTTAAAAATGTAAATAGTATAGTTTTTTATTATAATGAATGTTTTACCTTTTTTAATCCTAATTTATTTTCAATCATTCGGAATTGAAGACTCTGGAACCCTGATGCTGGTTTTAGATAGTCGCGAAATTCAGCAAAATCGTAAGGAGTCATGGTTTCCAAAACTCCAAAATGTTCTAGTAGTAACTTAATCAAATAAAAATATCGCACACGTTATTCACATTGACAAGTGTAGGTATGCATATTGTATTTCAGTATTTGTATATAATTATATAACTATATAACTAATTGGGTACAAGGCACTTTATAAATTATAATGTTGACATTTGAACTGTTTAAATAAAGAAAACCTTAAAAGTGTATTTTATAAAATTATCCATATTGTAACATAATATGCAGATACTAGTGATAAACGTATTAAGTTCTTATTATTAAATGTATTGTATGAAATGATAGATATTTACATAATATTATCCAGACTACCTATAGGTGAAGCCGTATAGTCGTATAGGTATAGTGTGCATACATTGTAAATTTACTGGGATTATCATTATATTACTTTAGAATTGATGTGGTGTCAAAATCCCCAATAATGCAAGAAACCAATTTAATTACATTTGAAACATACAAAATTAATAAGGAACTTTTTTAATATATATAATATATAGTTATATAGTATATAGTATAATATTTAGTAAAATAGTTATTCATTGTAGGTATACTTTTGTATGTATTATTTTTGTATGTATACTACCTACTTTTTTTCTCAAAAAGAAATTGATTTTATTTTATTTATATTTTCATAATAATATTTTTGTATTTAAAAATATAATAGTTGAATGTAAATGTTCTGTAATTTCTAAATCTATGTATCTAAGTTATAAATAAGTAATCTGGATAATACGTAAGATAACATATTTTGTTTTATTGATACTTATACAAGCTCACCTTGATAATAGATGAAATCCTACCTAAACGCTTTAAGATGTTGAACATTTCGTGCTCGTTATTCTGAAAAGTTAATTAAACAATTTAATTAACATTCAATATATTTTATAATTTATAATGAAAAAATAAATTAACAAACAACAATGATATCAAGGTTATACCTAAAGAAGGTTATACAAAGTTGTATAAAAATATACAACGTTTTACTTTATACACTTGTACATACCCAAAGGTTAGCAGATAATAATTTACAAACAATATCCATTTCAAATAAAATCTGCTTGAACCACAACTCGTAAGCTGAAATGAGTGCAATTAATAAACAATAAAATATTAAGTTACAAAAAACGTTTGGTTAAATTATGATTTTTAAATTTTTTAGCTTTCTAAATAACAACATACATTTCTATTTTCATATTCATAAGTGGAATATTTATTTGTAAATTGTATATACTTATTAAAATTGAGTTTTACAAAATGAATACCTAGTTTATTACTCAATGTATAGCATTTTAAGTGTAGATTAGTGGTACTCAGTAATCAGTATATTGTATTTAGCCATATAGATAGGTACTATTTACATATAAATTACATGTTAGGTACGAATAATGTCAAGAATTGGATAATTCCCATGGGCAATATTGATAATTATGAATTATAATATAATATTTAAATATATATTATATTATCTGTAATACCTACATATATTGACCAACATTTTTCAAAAAACACAACATTACTCATCTAAACTTATAAAGCGTATAACTAATTTACTTCGTAAATACTTGTTTAAAATGATATTTATGTATGAAAATTCTCAGAAATAAATTCAGATTCAAACTATTAAGTTAAAAATGGAAATTTTCGTTCAAAAAGGTAAAAACTATAATAATAAATATAATTGTTTTCAAAAAGGTCATTTATAGTTTAAAAAATTTATTCAATAACGTTAATATTTATCGAGAAATGTATTGTTTACTGTTAAACGATTGATAGTCTTCCTATATTATGTGTTGTTACGAAAACTATTATCTCAGAAAAATATTATAATAATTTAATTGTCCATAACATAGATTTGTATTTAATAAAAAATATTCATATCTAAATGAAGAGACTTTTAAATCTAGACTTCTTAATAATTATTTTATTTTTTTAAACTTAATTATTACCTATCATAATCCAGTAAAATTCCTAAGTCACGAAGAACCGATAACAAAATAATATTTTAATAATTATACATTATATACTAATAACTATAGTTTATAAGATTTTTATTTTATAAATAAAAACAAAAATATAATCACTAGGTAGATTTTATTTCATGGTATTTTGTTGAGTGTTTACATTGCAGTAATCTACTATAAGAAATGATAAAAGATAAATGATAAAAGAAGGTGCTCTGCTGTACAGTAGGTTACAAGTGGGTCACTGTATAATGGATGGTATTAAATTTGAATTCAATGATATAATATCATTGTATAAGAAAAACGATTCTAAGCGGAGACGGTATGTCAGTCTAGGTTTAAGATATATTATATTATAACATATCTATGGTATTAAAAAAAAATTGACCTATAATAGGTACCTATAATAAATTCCGAATTAATCACAATATCCATTAGGTACTTATAACGCGTTATACATTAATAACAAACCGTGATACTATCATAGATATATAATAGTACACTTTAGAAGTTTCAAGTATCCACGAATAATATTATAGAATCATAACAAAATAACTAAAATGGTTTTTTTAGGTTTTTTAATATGTAATTTCGTCCAAATTTGAACTTAAATTGACTATACAAATAAACTGTGCTTGTGTATTTTTCAGATTTTTTGGTAACAGAATTAACTACTTACATGGAATCTTGTTTTAAATTTTCAATCCTTAGATATAAAAGTTGAACATTTTATAAATGTTTAACTACAAAATAATTATTCAATTTTAAATTTGATAAATTTTGTCAACAATCTTTAAATGCTTATAAAAAAATTGTGATTATGTATTTTTAATATTTTTCAACTGCTATTGTAGCAATATATCAGTAGCCTTGTATTAAATGTTTACACTTTTTGACCCAACAGATAAAACTTTATTGATATTCATAGAAAAAAAAAGAAAAAATTAAAAACTGACAATGCCCATAAACAGCTCAAAAAAACTAAAAAAAAATGGAAAATGAAAATGTTCTTAAACAGTTCACAACAAATCATAAAATTTAATCGTGTATAGGAAATGCAAATATAAACAACCAGTGGAAATTTCATGTATATACGTTCATTTATTTTAGAATTACACCAAAAACTAAAATCAATTTTTTGGAAAACCGATTTTGCGCAAAAATTCCCGTTTTCTTTAATTTTAATGTTGTTTTCCCCGGCGCTTGTGAAAACTATTGGAAATTTTAAATTTAGACCTCCCGAATGCACCAACGATATTTACTTTCCCATCGAACAAGATACTGAAGTTGAAAATCGAAGCATTATTTCGACTACTTATCGTGTACACAGACACAAAAATAAAAAAATAAAAAACACACATCATTGTAAAATCAATACATTCATTGTTTCACTCAGAATCTAAATCTGTTTAGGGGGACGAGGTGGCTGAGCGGTTTAACGCGTCGGCTTTGACACAGCCGGTCCAGGTTCAATCCCCGGCCATCGGGCGGCATTTTTCTCTGGGCAAGTCACGGTGTCCGGAGAACAAGTGCCGCCATCCCCCCACTCCGGGGCATGGCAGAAACCTACGGGTGCCCCAATAAAAATTCTTCCACCACAAACACACGTGTTAACAAACCTACCGACTCCCCCTACAGTACCACAGGCTAATGACCATTAGTAGTTGAAGCCTTAACCTCAAAAAAAAAAAAAAAAGTGTTTGTTTTAAACCTTTATTACCTTGATGAGTAACTATGAAGAGATGCTCGTCGTACGAAACTCTACCGTTTTGCTTACTTAACATTGTCTGAGAATCTAAAAGTTTATCAAGTTGTAGATAATCTGCATAACTTATGGCTGCGGTAACATTCTGTTTGCACCTTCTGCTGAGACAATGCAAATAAATTAACAGTGAACCTTTATTTTACACAAATAACACACTTACTTATTTTGTTGATCATTGACTCTATCTTTACCATTGATACAATTCATTTTTCGGTAAATGCGTTCAATTGTATTGAAAACGATTGGTAGATATATACGACGTAGGTAATCGACGTATACCTTAAATAATACGTTTAATTTATTCCTGATACAATATTAACCGTGGACTTATGATATGTTTTTATAAAGAACCGTATAATATGAACTAAACGACACGTTGTCTACTGATTAATAGAATTCATATAGGCTTATACTCGATTTTACAGTCAAATGTGTAATGTAGTATCATATGTGGCGAAAACCTACAGCAAGGGTAAAGCTTATAGCAAAACTGTCCAAGTAATCTAATATCTTTTTCAAGGCAATAGGTGCGTACGAAAGTCTGTAAGGATTGAGTTATCCTGCTACCGTTATAGTTACATAATAATTAATAGGTTCATAGACCTTCGTTATAATTGTACATATAGTATATACTATAGATTATAGTTTACATAAGAGCTTATTACGTATAGTTAACCATTTTGTGATCAGAAATTGAATGCATTTTAACAATGTGTTATAATAATTAGGAAGGTACCTACGCAAGTGTACAATCCATAATACTGTACCTATGTCTAAATAATGGATATCTATTTTAGATTAGGAGCATTCGATGATATATGTTTATTTTTTCATTCACATTTTTTTTTATTTTTGATGGATTTTTACAGAAAATGTTGTTTAATTAAAAAATTAATAACTGTATACCTACCAAGTGATACATTTGAGAGGACGTCGCACCCGCAGTGTTGTCTTACACACGGACATCATTGCAAATTTTCGTCCGTCAGTTTCAATAATGAGCTGTTAGTTATGATATTGGAGTGAATTGACTTATTATCAAACTTTTAGGTAACAAGTAACAACATAATCTGTGTTCTCTCGTTGGTTTTTTACGATATTTTAATTTCAAGTGAATTTTGAGCATTTTAAAATATTAATGTTCTATCAGTTCAACACACAAGGCCATAAATTAAAAAAAATATTGTAAAAGAACGATTAATTGTGCCTATGTATTTTTAATATATTTCAACTGCTATTGTAACAATATATCAGTAGCTTTGTATTAAATTTTCACGCTTTTTGGCCGTACAAATAAAATTGCATTGATATTTATAGAAAAAAAAACTAAAAACAACGAAACAACTTATAGATTTTTTATAAATATTATGTAAGACAATCTGAATGATAAAAATAAAAATGCATTTTTATTTTAAGTATCAAATTATTTAAGTCTTCTTCCCACGTTGATTTATTTTCCCCGAAAGTGTTGTCATAAACATCACTAAATCACAGGAAAAACTAAAAAAAAAAAAGCTCGATTATTAATATTTTTAAGTGTCCACGATTAATATATTTTTTTTAATTACCTACCATAAAATAAAAAAATTGAAATTTAAAAATGTCCGCGGTAAACAATTCAAAACAAATCCAAATATTTTGAAAATTTAGTACAGTTTATTAACACCGCGAACACCACTGCATGGGCCATTATAGGAGCAAATAAGGGGAGCTAGGGTAATTGCTATAGCTCCCACCAAAAAAAAAAAAAAACGAACACTAATAATAAATTGCGCCTATAATACACCAGATTATCCAAAAATCCTATTCCGGACGAGTAAAAAAAGTCTTTTAACAACTCGTATTGTAGGTACAACTTGTATTTTGTCTTTCCCCGGTGATTGTAATCGTAAATTAAATATCCGCTGTGGACGTTTTAGTCCTATATTATATATATATATATATATATGTATAAAACTATAAAAGTGATAAAACCCTGCAAACCACTAACTAGCTCACTCATTCACCGCTATATCTCAAAAACTAAAAAACGTACGAAACTGAAATTTGGAATAGTGGTTCCTCTAAGATTTTCCGATATACGCATTTTAAATAGGTGGTCACTGGTCAAACTGAGAGCTTGAGGTTCACGGTGGAAATTGAAATTTTCTTTGGGTTTATAAATGGTTGACGATGGTTGCAGATTTAAGATTATAATAGTAATAGTAGAAATTAGTATAATATTTTTTTTGTACATAAACTGTTGCCTTTGGTTACTCGGGCAGATCAAGTACAAGCATGCAGCATCAAATTGTCAAATATTTTATTTGGTATAACGAAAAAAATTAATAATTTGATTATTTTACTAGAAATCGTTATTTTACTCTGTATAATATCCAATATTCCAATATGTCATAAAAATTTAAATTTCAAATACTCATAAAAAATATTTGTGGATTACGCCCAACTTTTTTGAATTCCAGTAATAACAACCTACAACTTAGGTATGAGAAATTGTGTATACAATTTTTAAACTTTTCAACAAATTTAATTTTTCTTTCTAAAAAGTACTAACTAGATCCAATTTACTCTCAGAAACCACCAACAAAGTTAAAGATCAAAGCATTTTTTTCTTCTATAATAATTAGGGTATACTCACTTAAACAAAAATCACACATTCAATAATTGTAAAATCAACACATTTATCTTTCTGATAGTCCGATCGGAGTCTAAAATATTATACTATATTATAATTCTTTTTAAACTATGAAACTATAAAAGTATAAACATTAAACACAATGTATAATAATATATATTTTTACCCCATCTCTCCATACAGTTCACCGAGGTGTAATGTAGGTAGGTACCTAATTTGTAAATGTATAAATACTAAGGCTTCTGTCTAGAGTATACTCCAGTTTATTGATATTGTAAAATTATGATTTCGAAAATAAAATAAATTTAAACAAAGGTATACTAAATTTCTTGATCAATTTGACGGTCATGGTTTGTGTTCATCACCAAAAAAATATGAGCAAGGATGAGATTTATTTTTAAATTATTTAATTACATAATATAAATATTATTTATTTTATTGTGATTCGAAAAATATTAATTGTAAAAACTTCAAAAATTTCACCATAACGTGTATTATTATTTTTATATTATACAGGGTGATTTTTTCAAAATATTTAAATCAACTTTAAGCTATATATTATACCAGAGTCCATGAACTTATCTATAGGTAGGTACTTATATTTACACCATTCTATGGTACCTACATAGGTTTCGACTTATACTTAAAACTTTTTTTTTATTGAACAAAATTTTATATACAATCTGTAATTACAATATATTATATTACAATGAGTAAATTTGATGAGGATGATTCACGGGAGGGGGGAAGTCACCCATTGGTGACACCCCATAAAATATACTTAAAACTTAAAAGTTAATACCAATGTCCAATCGTATATGATATAGGTAGATAATATTATAATAATTAATAATATAATATATTCTGTAATTTTGTTAAAAACTAGTTATTATTTGAAAGTAAGTTATAAGTTTATAACCTTTTTGAAACAGTATATTTTAAAATGATTATAACTTACTTAAAAATAATAATATAAACAAAAGCCTAGGTCGTACCCTAGATAATAATCTTACCTTTAAATTGTATAATAGGTCAATTCACTAACATAAACTAACAGCAAATCATTGAAACTGGTGTGAACAAAAATTTGTTATGTCGTAAGTGTGTTAGGCGGAAACAACAAATGGAGGTAGGGTGTCCTCTTAAAATTTGCTGCACAAAATTCTTACAGCTGAACACAAATTTACTATGTTGTATGTTTGTACGACGGAGACAACACATGCGAACATTTCGCTTCATAAACAAATATTTTTTTTTAATTTTTAGATGGGACTATACAATACTCTCTATTTAAACTAAATGTATCAATGCAACATTTATTAGTACCCATAATGCTATAAATTTAATAAGTAAATCATATTCATAAATTACATAATATTGGAAGTTTTTTAGCACATATTGTTTAGTTTGTATAAATACAATTAAATAACTAGTTCTTGCCTACTAAATAAGTTGGATTTTATTAGATCAATTAGTTGGCATTTTGGCTATCTACATCATGTTAAAATGTTTATAACTTATAACTTATAAGTACACTATTGGTTATGAACTACAAAGTATTGAAGTAAACTTTACTTGTATTTGGAGAGTGGAGACCAAATAAAAAGTAATTACTATTTACTAATTATTAAGTACTAGACGCCCACCCTAAACAAATTACTTGTTACGCCACTGATAAATCATAAATGGTATATTATTTTTTTTAAACAAGTGAATAAGAATAGTAAGATTGCTCATATTTGAAAGCCAATATTGAAATTTTAACCTCTATGTTTCATTGTAGACAATATTGTTAACATATTGGTTTAAAGGTTTTGAATATATTTTGATCGGCATGCAGAGATTATTTTTTTTAAGCTAAAATCTAAATATAATCAAATAGATAATATTAATAATTATACAGATCTATAATATAATATGTATATTGTAAGCAACTTACCTATCTAGGTAAAAATCACAATTTAATATTGTTCAAAGACAGTATATTTACTTTAATTATAATTTATAGGTACTAAGGTAACATGTCCAAATATCAAGTTTCCAACATAAGTATTTGAACTTTGAAACAATGTTGACACCATGTGTATATTGTATTTGATATGTAACCATTGGAGGTTGGATACACAATTAACCATCAATCAAGTTTTTCTATTTTATAAAATAAAAGTTAAAGTTTAAAAGCAAAAATACAATTATAATTTTAAAAAATACAGTTTTATAAAATTTAATAGGACAAAAGTTTATAATCAATAATTCATACAACAATATAATATAACATACATAGGAGAATATGATAGCTTTCCCAGAATAATATACCAGATTGAGATATGTAAAGACAAAGTATACAAAATACAAAATATTAATTTTTACTTTTTACTCTGTTTCATTTTATTTTTTCTTATGATCATTTCTTCAACCGTTATATCCACATCCATTTTACCGTGTTCATGAGGGTCACGCTGGAGTACGCCGAGTTTTTTCATCATATTCTCTACATCAGTATTCATACCGTTAAATGATAGTCTTGACATAGGTAGAATATCATAAAACGGTTCCCAATTATTAATCTTGGAAACATCTTTTTTCTTAGGTCTATGTTCAGATTTAATTGTTACATCTACTTCCTTCGTGTCTATACCCGGATTCATAAACTTCATTTTCATTAACGCCTTAGAAAAATTTTTATGGGGATCTATTTTAATTGACTTTACTTTAACCATTGTTGCAATTTTATTGTTACAATAATTAAAAAAAAAAAAAACAATTAACAGTTCACTTCACACTTTGATAGTTATTACTTATTAGTTTGATGGTTTTAAACGAAAAAATTCATGACTAGCTAACAGTTTCAAAAATTGTAAATTGTAATCTTATAGATAGATAAATCATAATCACGAATCACAATATAACAAATATTTTGATAACATTGAGCATAAATAATAGATAAAAAAAAACCAACAGTGTCACCAACATCATATCTTAATAATTCAAATAATGGAATATTATTAATTATTATGATCATAAATAATATCAACCACGCCATCTCACGAACTAATTGAGTTTTCGCTTTGAAGCACTGAGTGTAAATTTAATGTTTGTGGTTTGACTGTTTGAGTGCAAAAATGCATTAGATTCACGGACTCATTAGTTTATTAGTCCGTGATTTGATTTTACCAATATTCAGTTAACTGGACAACTGGTGTAGTATTTTGTATTCGATGTAATTTGTACCTGTGGACCCAGTGCGCACTTTCTGAACAGCAGTTGCTCACAGAGTGTACATACTATTTAACTATTATAATATTTTGTGATATTAACTCTATTAAGAGGTCAAATTTTGTTTTCGTGCGCGATTTAAAATAAAACTGTTGCAGTGCTAGTGGTAGAATAGTTTTGGAGCACATTTTAAGAAAACGATATAGCCTTAAGATAGAATTTCTTTCCAGTTTTCCATTTTAGAATATTTCCAGTTGATGGACCTAAAACCTAGTACACTAATCATGTAAGAATTATCTAGAGATAATTTAGAAATCCGCAATAACTAATATTGTGAAATGGGATTCAGTAAAAACATTAGAAACTCTGGTTCTTTGGTTTTTTAAATGCTTGCTTGTCCCCTCTAAAAGCATAAGCAATGAGTACTATGTGAAAAAATCCTGAAAGAAAAAGGTACAGAAACGATAGTTTGTAAATTCAAGTTTTAACTGTTTTAAAAGTGGACCACTCAGACTGTCCATATACCTTCCAGCAAGCTGGTTGCGATCATCGTTGCTAGATGGCCATAACTGCGAACAGCAGGCCACCAGCGGTCTCACGCTCTGGTACATGGACAAGTCTCATCATCGTGGCTAATGACGACTCCAGATTTGCACCTGGAGGGGACGATGCATACTACAGAAATGATCCTGTGAAGTATGATCTTAAATATTTCGTCGACGCCGGCCCGTACTTATAATGACCGTCAGCTGCTTAACAAGGGTTTCCCGCAGACTGGCATATCAAATATCAGCACTAAGGGAATCGAACTCATTGACTGGAGTGTACTTGGACACACTATTTTTTTCGATTAAGTGGTCGCTCTGTTAACCGAACTCAAGTACAGCTAATTGGACGTACCGAAATCGACGGCGACGTGATTCAATGCTGCGACACATTGAACGTTCAACGCTAGAGCCATCTAGCGGCACCCGTCGGCTTAACTATTAAAAATAGTCGTTGTCCGCAAATCGCTGAGTGTAAATATTTTCGACCAAGATCAAATAAAACGGTGTTATCACTCTTCTCGAAAGTATTGGATATTTTTTGAGTATTTTTTTCGTCTTTTTAAATGCATTTATTGCGGTCATTGTCTGTCAGGAACGCTAAGAAGACATATTGCTTACGTACGTGTTTTGTTATTGAGTGTGTTCTACTCATAGATGATAGCATTGATTAAATTTAAATATATATTGTATATTTAATCAATGATGATAGTTATTATAGAATATAATATCTATGGTTCTACTCACGGTCTAATTACTTACTTAACCTAACCTACCATTGATTATGAAGACTAGCACTGATTTTAAATTCTAATATTTATAATAAATGATACTACTTTACTAGAAATAAGTAATTAATCTGTAATAACTAATAAAGTAATAACTAATATTAGTATTCATAATTAATGGTCTTAGACCCTAGTGGTCCTACCTGTTACTTTTAAATATCTTTATGTAAATTTGTAATGTATTAATGTGCATAATATATAACACTTATTAACACTTTTATATTATTATATATTATTATGTCTTGGTCCATAGTAGTAACTAGTATGGCACTGTTGGTACTATGGTACCTACCTATATTGTGTTAAATTATAAACATACATTTTTTAATGTCTAGTTTTAAATATTCGCAAATTAAAAAGCCAACATTTTTAAATTAACAATATTTCATGCATTAAATAAAATTACTATGTAAAAGTTTTTTTGTTACTTCATTGTCACTTGCAATCATTTTTTTATTATTTATTATTATTGAGTATTTAAATTGTATCACTTCAATGCATAGATTTCCATATAGTGTAGTATACAAATCTGTGCTTCAATGTTAATTACTAATTACCATTATTTTTTATATATTTCTTAAATTTTGTCATTATTATGTAAAGGACATATGGCCTTTTAAAATGTAGTGATTTGTTGGTGATTATCAGCAAGTAATTATTATATACTTTGTTTATTAGAACGTGTTGGCTTTATTGACATGTCACTGGTCAATACAATAATGATGCCAGTCGCCAGATGAGGTTATCGATGAACTGAGCATCCAAAAAAATAGAAAACTGCATTTTGTACTTTTCACATTTTTTTGTTTATGGTATAGACACTGGATTGGCGATAGTATGAATTTATAATGCTATTAGGTACCTACTATGCAATTTGTGTTAATTCTTATTTCACATTGATCCACACTAATCTCAATAGGTAACAAGTTAGGGAATTTAAAAAATTTATGTTATGTACGTATCACGAATTAAGATAAATTAATTCGTGGTACGTATTTATGCGTTTATTATTATATATTTCATCCCTTTCTAGCAAAATTTCTAAATACGCCACTGTGGTGATATGCTGATAATCCTAAATACGCCACTGTGGTGATATGCTGATAACCGTCCATAGATGGCTCTGTCGTCAAACACCCAATGAAACCAGTCGTAGTTGACGCTTTTTAAAAATGTTTAATATTGTTTTTTCTTGTGTTTCGTGACCGAACCGGCGACATAAACGACGAAAACGGTTTGTCAGGTGATTTTCCAATTATTAAGTTCCGGTTCCTATCGTGCATTCATGCCAAAATCCGATGTGCCAGTCTGCGGGAAACCCTTGTTAAGCAGCTGACGGTCATTATAAGTACGGGCCGGCGTCGACGAAATATTTAAGATCATACTTCACAGGATCATTTCTGTAGTATGCATCGTCCCCTCCAGGTGCAAATCTGGAGTCGTCATTAGCCACGATGATGAGACTTGTCCATGTACCAGAGCGTGAGACCGCTGGTGGCCTGCTGTTCGCAGTTATGGTCATCTAGCAACGATGATCGCAACCAGCTTGCTGGAAGGTAAATGGACAGTCTGAGTGGTCCACTTTTAATAATAATTAAATTTTCAGTGTATGACGTTGAATTTAAAATTTTATTTCTTCGATTATTGATTGGTACTCTAGTTCCAGTTATATAATAATATACAACTTTTAATAGCTTTTAAGCTTTCGACTTATTAGTCTTATAAGTCCGTCCTTAATAATTTAAATTTAAATATTATCATCCCAGGTTGTTGCCGAGCTCGCTCGCTATTAATATGGGCTAATAAGCACGGTTATTAATCTTTACTAGTCAGAAGTTACATTACTGCATTACTTATTACTTATTAGTTACAACGATAATATTATGTTGCAATTAGATATTTCGATTTTTAATTAAAACAAATATTTGCTACAACATTATAACTGTCTAAACTGAAAAGAATTTAATAACCTGAACGTCTTAAAGATACCTTATTAAATATTATTAAGTACATTATAAAATATAAATACAGGAAAAAATAGAGGAATGTTGTTGATGTGGTGATAAACCTTGAAAACTCAAGAAGACTGAAAATTGAAGAAGAAAAAATAAAATATAAATTACAATAACGTAATTTAATTTTATAATTGCGTATAAATACGAATATTTTAATCATCGTTTTTCGAGCGATAAAACCTGCTTCTGTAATAACATGATTAAAAATAATGGCCTCTAGCATTTTAATATAACAATTTGATTGTTGAACCATAATTATCAGAATTCGATTTTAATGTTAGTACTATTCATATGCTGGTCCGGGCAACAGTGGGAAAAATTATTTAAATTTACATAATAGGAAGCATACATTATACCGGCGCGGAGCCCGGCGAGCAGATAACGCGATTTCCATTTTATTGATAACGAGCAACAGGTGGACCGTGGTAATCCCACATTAATTATTTCAAACCTTTGCAGTTTGCAGCTCGTCCATCATTCTTTAAAATATTTCATTTCTTCGCTTTGCATTTCAATCAGTCGACAGTCGTATACACCATACTCGTATTAATTGTATTTCCTTTCCATTCGTTTTACTGTCGGCACTCTTCAGCGTCATGTCCGAAGAAGTTGTTGCAAAAGTACTGTCCGGTACTGAACTGTCCAAGTAAGTTGAAAATTTAACTACCTACGATTAAAGTTTGTACTTAGCACTTTCGATGATACACTTACTAATATGTTCCTTATTGTGAATTAGGGAAACGAAAAGCAACTTAAAAAAACAAACGGCTGCACTTGCTGAACATTTTAATGGGTTTAAAGCTCATCTCGTTATTGTTCAAGTAGGAGGACGTGATGATTCCAATGTCTATATTAGGCAGAAAATTAAGTCTGCGGCCGAAGTGGGTGTCGAAGCATCACATGTACAGTTTCCCAAGACAATTACTCAAAATGAGGTATGCATTATTATTTCATCAAACTATGCTTCAATTGAATTAGTTACAAAATATTTGTACCTACATATCCATTATCATAACATAATTATGTGTTTGCTTATGTTGATTAGTTATTGTCAGAAATCAACAAATACAACAGTGATTCATCCGTACATGGTATTATCGTTCAAATGCCATTAGATTGTATAGAAAATATCGATTCACATTTAATCACCAATGCTGTTTCTCCTGAAAAGGATGTTGATGGGTAAATTTTCATAATATTATATACATATTGTATCTTAAGCCAACTGATCCCTTCTATATAAAGGTCTCTCTTTTTAATCTCGGCCAGATAAATAAAAAAATTTAAGTTGTATAGACAAATTGTCATCCATACATTATGGGCTTAAGCAATATTATTACTGTAGTATTCAATAGTACCCAGTAGGTTCAATATTATGAATAACTATAACAACAATTTATTATACCTAATATTCTATGTTTAATTGAATATTATAGTCAATAGAGCACTGCCAGAATTACACCAGTTTCAAGTTTGATATAAATTTTATTCATGAAATCTAGATAACAAATAGGCAAATTTCGGTCATTAACATCCGAGCTCTAATAATGAATAACTATTGATCTATTACAGACTACATACATATTATAACATATAAATGTTTTATGATTTACCTTATCTGTGCTGTTATTGGTAAATAACTATTGTTAAACAAGTTTCAAGGAATTGAAGAACAATTTTTGGGCATCTTGATTAGTGCCATTTAAAAGAATTTGTCAGGACCTGAATTTGCCGTCAGTCCATCCCTATCTAAAGTCTTAAAATTATTTGAAAGATATTTTAATTACTTTATGTATCTTTGTTTATGCACATAGTTTAAACATTGTTAATGAAGGTCGAGTAGCCATTGGTGATTTAACTGGTCTCATTCCTTGCACTCCAAATGGTGTTATTCAACTAATCAAAAGGTAAAAAAAGTTTTCCATTTAAATTATATAATTCTAATTATTTATATATTGTTAATTATAATTTTAGAAGTGGGATTGAAATTTCTGGAACAAGAGCTGTGGTGTTGGGCCGCAGTAAAATTGTTGGTGCACCTGTGGCTAGTTTACTTTTATGGCATAATGCTACTGTTACAATTTGTCATTCCAAAACTAAGGACATTGAAAATGAAGTATGTTTAAAAAGTCAAGTATAATATAATTCTTTATAAGAATAGATAAAAACAAATCTACCCTTGTGACCTTTTAAATATTTTTGTCTTCACATGATTTAAAAACCAACCGCATTTTATTTAAAAATTAATATTATTTTTTTTACCAAGAGTTTCAAAACGATTATTAGCTATAATAATAGTATACAATATTATAGTATGCATGTTGATAATTTAATATTTACATATATATTTATTAATAACTAATTTATCTACTTACATTATATTATTATTATTGTAACAATTATTTTTCTTTTAAAAATACAATTTATTTGCCATCTATGAACAATTCAGAGTCCACTAAATAATTGGTACTGTATTTAGGTATCTAAAGCAGATATTTTGGTGGTTGCTATTGGCAAACCAGAATTTGTTCATGGGTCATGGATAAAACCGGGAGCAGTAGTTATAGATTGTGGTATCAATTCTCTTCCAGGTAATTATCCTTAGAAGTTTGACACTTTCATTTGTGTAAAATGTTTACCTTCTACTTAGACTCTTCAAAAAAGTCTGGTTACCGTTTGGTTGGAGATGTCCACTATGCATCAACATCTCTAAGAGCATCCGCCATAACACCAGTGCCTGGTGGTGTTGGACCTATGACTGTTGCTATGTTGCTATCAAATACTGTACAAGCAGCTACAAAGGTTGCAAACACTATTTACAAGACCCAATGGAATTTAGACATACTTCCTTTAAAACTTCAAAGACCAGTGCCTAGGTAAAGTTGATAATTATGTTGTATTCTCTCACAAAAGTTTAAAATATTTTCTTTTTTTTTCCAGTGATATTGAAATTGCTAGAAGTCAAGAACCAAAGAATATAATGGTGTTGGCTAAAGAAATAGGTCTAAACGAATCTGAAGTGATTTTGTATGGTAATAAAAAGGCTAAAATTTGTATATCCACTTTAGACCGCCTAAAGAACATAAAAAACGGAAAATATATTGTTGTTACCGGGTATGTAAATATAATTCTTTTTTTGTCACTTCATTTAGAAATCTTTGATAAATTGTTTTTATTAACCATTTATATGATAAATTTAATTTTAATGATTAATGCTAGATATAGTAATATACTGTCAGCAGTCAGCATACATAACACAATTTAAATATGTCTTTATTTATGTTTATAATTTATATATTATAAATGAATAACTTACTATTTTTTTTTAAATAATTTTTTTTATCATCACGCAGTGATTATAATATTAATAATATAAGCTATTGAGAAACATTAAAAGGAGACAAATTATAAATAATTTATTTAGATATTAATACTACCTATTTAGTATTTATCTTGTTTCTAATTAATGGTTTATTAAATAAATAGTTTTAATATATTTAACTTAAAAATTGTGTTTGAGTTCAAATCTCTTCCTAGAATGACGCTATATCAATAGGATACTTTGTTTTATGATGAAATATTCTAATGTAAAAATATATATTTCAGTATCACACCAACATCTTTTGGTGAAGGCAAGAGCACGACAACAGTAGGTCTCGTTCAAGCCTTAGCAGCACACTCTAAAAAAAATACTATTGCTTGTTTGAGACAGCCTTCACAAGGACCAACATTTGGAATTAAAGGTTTTTGAATATATTAGTAAATTTCACTAATTTGTTTTGGATTAAAATTGGTTTTGTTTATCAACTGCTTTTATTAGGTGGTGCGGCCGGCGGTGGTTATTCTCAAGTAATACCAATGGAAGATTTCAACCTCCATTTGACTGGTGATATACATGCAGTTACAGCTGCAAACAATTTGATGGCTGCACAAATTGATGCTCGTATGTTCCATGAGGCTACCCAAAAAGATCAAGCCTTATATGATCGTCTTGTACCAACTGTGAATGGTGTACGTAAGTTCTCTCCAATACAACTGAACAGATTAAAGAGGCTTGGAATCGACAAAACTGACCCGTCAACATTGACTGCTGAAGAAATCACTTCTTTTTCGAGGCTAAATATTGATCCAGATACTATATCGTGGAATAGAGGTAAATATTAAATAATATTCACATATGCCGTATGGTATTATATTTTAAACTATTTATTCGACCAAGTTTATAATAACAATATTTCCCACTTTTAGTAATGGATACAAATGATCGATTTTTGCGTAAAATTACTATTGGCCAGTCACCAACTGAGAAAAACCATACTCGGCAAACATGTTTTGATATATCTGTGGCTAGTGAAATCATGGCCATTCTGGCTCTGGCCAAAGATGCCAGCGATTTAAAAGAAAGACTATCACGTATAGTAGTGGCTCAAGATAAGAATATGGGTAATTTGACAAGTAAAGATGTCACTGCAGATGACTTAGGTATGACTGGTGCAATGGCTGTGCTTTTGAAAGATGCTATTAATCCAACGTTGATGCAAACACTTGAGGGGACCCCAGTACTGGTGCATGCCGGCCCATTTGCTAATATTGCTCATGGTGCGTCATCTATTGTAGCAGATTTGCTTGCTTCTAAACTAGTAGGTCCCGATGGCTTTGTTGTTACTGAAGCCGGTTTTGGATCAGATATTGGTAAGTCTAAAATAAAAGTAAAGAGACAACTAGACAAGAAAATCATATAATTATGACAGTTAACAAATTTGAAATTCTGAATGAATTTTTTTATAGGAATGGAAAAATTTTTCAACATCAAAACCAGATATTCTAGTCTTTTGCCAAGTACCATAGTGTTAGTGTGTACTGTTAGGGCCTTAAGAATGCATGGCGGTGGAGCTATTAATCCCAAAGTCTCCGTTACACCAGTAGAAAAAGAAGTAACTGAGTTTTGTTTGACTTGTTTGTAAGATTGTCTAATGACATTAATTTTTTATGACAGGAAGCATTGATTAAAGGCGTAGCAAATTTGCAGAAGCACATCAGCAATAGTGTCAAATTCGGTGTTCCTGTAGTTGTAGCTATAAATGCTATGAAGGCAGACACTGAAAACGAATGGAAAATTGTTAGAGATGCGAGTCTACAGGCTGGTGCAATGGATGCGGTTGTGAGCACCCACTGGGAAAATGGTGGGTCTGGAGCTATTAAATTAGCTGAGACTGTTATTAAAGCCAGTCAACAACCCCAACAATTCAAGTAATCTACATTACTATTTCTGTAAAACTGTCTTTCTGTAAAATGTTAAATTTTTGTTTTAAAATGTAGATTTTTGTATGACCTGAATATGCCACTGCAGCTCAAGATTGAAACTATTGCTAAAGAAATGTACGGTGCACAATCTGTGGAGTTTAATGAAAATGTTTTAAACAAATTGAATACATACGAATCTAAGGTTTTAATTCATGTCATATTTATTAATTTAATAATTTCTTAATATGCCAAGAAAAATAATTTTTCTATAGTATGATATGCATTATAATATTCAATTTAAGTATGGAATTGAAAATCTATTACATATTATACACCTACACTAATCATTTTTTCATCATTAAATAATATGTGTTCTAAAATACTATTAAATACTTATTACAGGGTTATGGGAAGTTACCAGTTTGTGTGGCAAAAACAGCGTTGTCATTAAGTGGAGATCCAAATCTTAAAGGTGTTCCTACAAACTTCACGCTACCAATAGTGGATGTATATGTATCTGCTGGTGCCGGATTCATTGTTATAATAGCCGGAGAAGTAATTTATAATATTTTGTCAAAATAATTAATAATATTATAATAATAATAAATCATTTTTTTTTAAATATAGATATCCAAAATGCCCGGCTTGTCTACTCGTCCAAGTATCTACGATATTGACTTGAATACTGAAACAGGAGAAATTATTGGTCTATTTTAGTAAAGTCATTATAGTACAGTACCAATATAGTGCCATACAAATTCTTGTTGAAACACAAGTGTCATTATTACATTTTTACTGTAATTATTAAATTTTAATTGTTTTCTTTTTTGTATTTTAAAACTTTTAAATAAATACATTATGGCATTTTCCATATATTTCATATTACATCACACTTTTTATTTATTATATCACAATTTAATATGTTTTTGTATAACTAAAGAACTTAAAGTTTTTATCACTTTTAAAATATAGAGCCAACTTCATAACATAAGGTAGACTTTGGTAGACTTTTTTTTAAATATCAAATAATACCATAACTCAGTTTTAGGGTCTCCCTAAGTCTGTAATGTTATAAAATAATCATAAATTATAAATGTTTTTCTGTTAGTAAGAATTTGACGTGTCAATTGTATTTAAACAGATGATTTAGTTGTCCATGATTGATCCATTAAATTATTTAATTTTTCGTGCAACCTGGCATTAGTTTTGCAAATTAAATTTGATCGTTTTACTGTACAAATTCAATACACATATAATTTACAATAAGTATACTGATTTTTATTGGAAATATTTTCATGGCTAAATCAACCTTCATAGTATCTGGTATTGGCAGCCTGAGTTTACAATTTACAGGAAATTCTTACAAGACATTATAAACCAAAATAAATTGAACACAATTTTTGAATATCAGTGATATACAGATTTTATACCATACATACATGTGGGATTTGGTCACCAAAATGTATACTGAATGCAATTAATACTTGATGATGACTAGAACTAGTATGTAATAACTAATAAGTTATGACTTAGGTCACTGTGGTCCAACCTTTTATAGTTGATGGGCCAATTTACACTTTCATAAATACACTGGGGGCCTCCAAAAGAAAAAAAATCTTTCTCCTCCACGAAAATACAGATTCACAGTGGCTACTATATGAACACAATACCTACATAATATGTACATAGCGAGCTGAATTTTATCATGGTTTTGGACGTTACTCATCGCACGTGCACCTATGTTGTATAGTATTTTTTTTTTGTAACAGTCCATTCAGTTTTATAATATAATATTTCATTTTGTTATTTTTACTTTAAATGCTTATTAACACATTAAACGCCAATGTCAATTTTACATGTGTGCACAGGTGGCCGCTGTAATTTGACTTGCAGACGCCCGTTGCCACTTGTAAAGTTAGTAGATTTTAAGTAAGTATTATACTAATGAATGCCCCCCTATACAAATTTTAAATGTATTCTGCAGTACCCGCTTAATAGAGAATTAATACAAAACGGGTTACCGTATGCCAAAAATGCATTGACACCGGCCACGGGTACTCGTTTACTCATGTCAAGGTGTTGAAGGTTTTAGTTTTATCCAATTAATTTGCATGTAAATGAAATAATACTATTTTAAGAATAATTATAATTAATCTACAAAAATAAGATGACAAAATCTAACAAAAACTAGTCCTATTTGATGCGAACGGCCGCCCTGAGACGTGCTGATCTGCTTCTAGGATTTGATTCAACCTCTTCAACACTTGGAGTTATCACGTGCTTGTGGATTTGATGCCAACAACTGTCATTAACCACATCCATAAACTCTTTATCGTATGCCTGCATGGGGTTAATATACTTCAAGGGTAGACTGTTAGCCACATTTTCATTGATATTACCCTGAATATGCCGTTTCACTATGGTGTCTTCGAGAGAATGAAAAGCAACCGTCACCATGACTCCGCCCAATTTCAAATAATGGCTCGCCAACACTATACTGTGGTTGATCTCGTTCAGTTCATTGTTGACAAATATGCGTAACGCTTGGAACACTTTGGTAGCTGGATGAGATGGCCTATGCAACATGTCGCTTCTCATCTCATTGTCGCAAACATTTTGCACAAGCTCACAAAAATCACGTGTAGTTTTTAATGGCTTGAATAAATACCTAAAGCACAGAAATAGGTAGATCAATTATTAATTACAAATTCAAACCAGAACATTTAAATATTTTATGTTAATTGTCAATATAACTAAATGAATAACATAAATAGTGAGAATTAAAATTGGTTAAAATAGTTATTGCACCCAACTAAATTTTTAACTTCAAAAAACATGAATTTACTGATATCAAAACTATAACTAAATAATAATTAGGAATTTTACCTTGCTTCGATTACAGCATTTGCAATTTTTTTTGATTGTTTTTCCTCTCCGTATACTTTAAATATTTTATAAAGATCTGATTGATCAGCTTTTGCTAACACGTCTGCTGCTGTAATAGTCTGTTCATCAGGGTCCATTCGCATATCTAAGGGGCCATTCTTACTAATTGAAAAGCCTCTGGAAGCCGTATCAAATTGCATAGAAGAAGCACCAAAATCAAATAAAATACCATCGAAGCTATTTATTTTGCATCCTAAGTTTTTTAACAGAACTGGCAAATCACTAAATTTACCCTTCAAAGGTATCACCCTGTTTGGATAACGTTCAGAAAGTTGTTTTGCCATGGCACATGCAGTTGGGTCTCTGTCCAAACAATAAACAACTGTTGAATCATTTTCTTGCAGAATCCTTTCTGTATGTCCCCCGGCACCGAATGTCATATCTATGATGTTGTGGCCCTTTTGCGGTGATAGATAACTAATTGCTTCTTCCAGCAGTACTGGCTTGTGAGGCCTGCTGTTGTGTTGGCGTACTAATTTTGTCTTTGATTTTGTTAAAAGTTGTCTTAAAAAAGCCTTCATTTTGATTATTTAAAATCTCTAGAGATTCTCTGGACAATACAGCCGTGCAATGTTGACTACTAAGCCCGGAAGCTGAAGATTGGATTGAACGCTTGTATTTGTTGCAGTAGTGGTTGTCTGCCAAACGTTTGAGGGACTCGTATTTTTTTATACACTTTGTAGTATCCCCACGGAAGGAATCACCAGAACTGAAAGCTGCTCCCACTTCTTTGCGGATGTGTTCACCTAGATCTCTAAGCAATACATGAAATAGTTAATACCAATCATATTATCGCAGAATAGATGAAATAGATTTCATCTATTCTGTGATATTATTTTGCAAATTTACTTATGAAATGTTTATGTAAGCGCTAAAGCGCATACATTCAAAATAATAATGAAAAACAAAAAGCAAAGATTTAACTACCTGCCGGTTTTACTGGGGTCCAATGGCCATTGCTTCAACAGTTTTAAGTAGTTTTTATAGAGGTTGGCCATCTGAAATGATAAATTGTTATTGCACATAGACCGATCAGTGACAAATAACGTTCATGTTCATGGGTAATGAACAATATGAAATAAAAAACGATTAGTGTTACCTATTCTGAGACTGTGTTTGTGCCTGTGCCTTGCTGCTCAAGATGTTGGTCAAATTTCTATTATTGACTTTCCTAGTTTCCGACGTTTTTGTACTTCAATAAACGAACAGATGACAAAAATTGAAGAATGTCTATGCATTAAATTTCAAACTTTTTAATGTTGCACAACACAGCGTAAAATACTGTTTGTTTGTTAAATACGATCCGTTGTAAATTGTAATACAGATGTCTGAACCTGAAGCACAATATAGAAATGGATAACAAATAATAATCATGATATCAAGTATATTAGTCCTTGATATTAACCACGATTTAAGATAGTATGGTTGCCCAACGAATCATGATAAAGTGTTTACTGAAATCACTATTAAAAACAGCTGGAAAATTAACCACTAGCGCTTGAATGTAACAGCGGCTATAGTTTATAAGCTCAAATACCGTGCAGAGTGGCGACTGGCGAGTGGCGCACTGGCGCGCTGTTTGCCTGTTTAGTATTTCAAATTTTCTTCGTGATTTACGATTAAAATTATAACGAATGACTTAGAACTTAGAAGTATGTAAGTAATTAATAACAATTTTGATAAATATAAATTAAAATACTTTAATCTCTTTCTATGCTTTAGTATTTTGTAAATAATAAATCAAATAACTATTTAAAATTTATTCAGCAAAAAAAATTGTATACAAAATACAAATGTTATACCATTACATTATATGAAACACAAAAAAAAAAAAAATTAATAATACCATCCATCACGTACTAACCAACTTTGAAAGTTTTTTTTTAACTTTATTTTGTTTTTTATTGTTTTGGTTTAGTTGATAGCTGTATTGCCTCATTCTCATAATCAGATAGTATGTGCAGATATCTGTTATAATATCTGTTTGATGTTCAATGCATGGAAAATTAATATTGACATTTTTGCTAAAGAAATCTTCATATGTATCTTCAAAAACTGTAGGTGAGTCAGCAAATTTTTCAAAAGATATCTCCAATGACTTTAATAATTTAAATAAATTAGTGTTTGGATGTGTAAGGTAACCTCTACTTTTTACATTCACTAATTCTGCTGCTGGTACAGTTGAAGATGTATTCATATTCTTTAAATATATTTTACACGATTCACATTTAGTCCGTGCCACTAACTGTTTTGCTATATATCTATAAATGATTCAATTTATACATTAATATCTATTTTTATTATTTCAGAGAATACTTACCTAACTAATAACTAGGTACTTATATTAAAATGTCTTACCCGGCTAAATAATACACAATACAATCAAAAACAGTAGAATTTGAATAATTATGCTCAGTAAAAACATCATCAGCATCCCAGCATCCCTTGTCTACAATATAATTAATTTTTTCTTTTAGTTTTTCAATCTTATTAATTCTATCTGAAGAATTAGTTGGGTCATTAATGACATCTTTTAAATCTGTGATTGTAATGATTGGAATATTGTCTAAAAAAGATATTTAATATTACTTTAAGTAGGTACATCCTATTCAAAATAATGTTAGAATATACAAACATATTGGTACCTACCTTCAAAAATTGTACAGTTACCAGTTTTAGGTGGTTTAATAAGTGAATATACAGACAGCATCCTATAAAGCTGGAGAAATGTAGGAGTGGATGGATGGTCATTTGGTCCAGCTACCTGACGGATAATACCAAAAAACTCCTATCAAAATAAAGTCAATAACTATTAGAATGCTCTTTCTTAAAATGTTAGTAAGTATAGTTATTTGTAAGTTTACTTCCAGGCGATCTTGGTTTAATTTTGCCGTCAAAACATACATAAAATTACAAGTATTTAATAAATAATCCACAATATCTATGGTTGACTTAATAGTTATTTTGAGACCATCAGCTGTGGCTTGTGTCAAAAAATCATCCTTTTTTATAAAATTATTATTTAAATTTGATTCCCAAGTATTGATCCATGCCAAAGCTTCTTTTAACACCTATTTGACATATAAATAATATAAGTACACATGCCTAGGTTAATTCATAAAATATTTAAAACATATAATCTAAAATCTAACATGGTGTAGGATTTTTAACCATATTATGATGAAACCCTTAATTACACCTATTCACATACAATAAATATTAAACACATATATCACAAACACATAACACAAACACATGAGTACATAACACAAAAAACCTCTATGTCGTGGGAGTTTTTTTTTATTCCTTCTGCACTAAATTTCCTGTTTAATGCATCAAACAGATTATTCATAAAAATTGTAAACTTGACAGTTTCATCAGAATCACTAAACCCATTAAAATTTTTTTTTTTATAAAATTCTATGCCTGTGGCCATTGACATGCTAAACAGCTAAATATTTTATGGAATAATTAGAAAATAATAATTAATATTATCTTTCACATGTTTTACAAATTTATAAATTGGTTATTTTACCTGTGCTGCATATTTAACCTTCATTTTAGAAAGATTATTATATCTATATTATATCTTTGGTATCCACAGTATATTCAGAGTTTGGGCATTCTTGTATATTATTTATTTTTTCATTCTTAAATAAAATATTGTATAAATTAGTTAGGTTTAGGTACTAGGTACAAAAATGCTTAGAGTTTATGTTGTTATATTATTATTTAACTTATCATAACGTTATTTAGTTATAAATTCTTACCAAAATATTCGACTCATTATTGTTAACAATATATAAATTCACTGGAATAGCTCCATCTCTAAGTCTAGGTCTTTTTAGACACACCTACAAATATATTATATTGCTGTTATATTTTTACCTATAGTTGTATCAGTTCATAAATATACTATACATATATTTATAAGTAATGGTACTAACCGTGTATTTATTTATTCCATTTCCAGATTCCCATGTGTCTATTACATCATGTGTCTTAAAATGGTTACGACAAACACGAGAATTATTACTTAAAGGAATACCCAAGACATTTTCCCATTCAGACCGTAAGACAATATTCAATGGAACTTTGAAGGAACTAATCTTTGCATATTTGTCATGTGAAGGACAATTAGGTATACAACACGACATTACAACACGACAAACAATTAAATAATTTCAACAAAATTAAGCATAATATATTAAAACTTTATGAATAATAACATTTTTGTTATATCTTGTCAAGATGTAAATTTGTATTTATCATGGACGATAAATCTATTTACTAAGATAATAGATAGTTATTATAATTGTATAGTGGAATATTTATCATTATTTAAATCGTGGTTTTTATAGGGATCTATGAGAATTGAGAATAATATCACATAATAGATTTATTCTGTATTACTGTGGTAATAGGTACATATTTGATATTAGTAAAGCGCGGGAAAAAATAATAAGCTCGTAAATTCTGCTTCTATATTGGCACACATCATGTCGCAAGCGCTAGTGGTCAATTTTCCAGCTGTTCTGGTTATTTAATTTGGTTTCCAGTTTAAAACGATCTTATCATAGGTCGTCGGGCAACCATACTATCTTAAATCGTGATATTAACACAGAACGTTCTGTGATATTAATCTATTTAACCAGTGGTCTGTTCTCCTACAGTTAGATAAGAATTTAGTAGGTGGGAGTTCAAAATTGTAACGATATCAACTTCTGTTTTTTTAAAAATTGATATAAAGAAATATCGTATTATTGTAATCACTGTCTGGGTAAAAAAATGTTATTTTAATATTATTAATTATAATTTATAATGGTACCTATAAATTATTTAACATTTAATATTTTAATTATTAAATAATTTATAATTTGTATACAAAATGGATCATAGCTATGCTCTACAAAGTATGTATTTATTTTCCTTTTATTAATTTATCATTTAAATAAAATAATATTTGTTTTATAGTTCCCCAAGAGAATATTCTACTTAATAATAGTGACGACGAGGAAGACTTTGATGGTAAATTGTTGAGCATAAAATTTTAATGATCTATTTATTTTTATTTAAAATATAATACCATTTGTTTTCTAGTTCCCCAGGAGGATGTTCAATTAAGTGATGGGGATGATGAAATTGATGGTAAATTTCAAAGTTTAAATTATTAATGATCTTGTTCTCTGATCTCTAAAATATTCACTATTGATTGCAATATTATTTATGTTTATAATATAGCAGGTCCAGTAAATTTTAATGTGCCACAGCAAGCTCCTGAAACCTATTTTACTGTGCCTGGGACCCGTCTCAATTCTTTAGTATATGGATAACATTGGGTATGAATACTATAAGAGTATAAGTTGTAACAACAAAATGTGAGTACTCATCATAGTTTATTATGATTACAGATTTAATGAATTGCTAACAAACATAATATTTTAATTAGTTACTTAGTATGTGAAAATCAAAAGAATAAGGCTGAATTCTGCCCATCGACAGCAATAGTCAGTGTGGATATAAATGAGAATTAGTTAAGATCAAATATAAGACACAACCATTTTCCACCTATTGTGGACATTTCAGAGGCCCGTTTGAGGAGGAGTATTGGCATTGCAGGCACAACTACTGGAAGACTGTCAAACTCAATCTGACATATCTATAATAATGAAATAGTTGAGTAAGTACAATTTTGTATGATTTATGAACAATAACTATGAAATTAATAACCTTACAAATCCTTTTATTTTTACTCAATATGATTAATCATAGTTCTGATAATATATTTTGTATATGTTATAGAAACCCTGAGGGAGCAAAAAATTACACATTTTTACAATGCCAATCAAGGGTACGGAGAATGCGACAATGTCGTCATCCACAAAGTGTCGATACAATTGAAGAACTCGCGAACATTCTGAGCCTAGAACAAAATAAATCTTACTCATCAACCTTGCAGCGTCCACCATCAAGGTAATTTTTTTGAATGCCAAACTATTAATTAAAAAACACATTGATTGAATTTATATATCTATTGCTTACTAATTTTTGTTTAGATTTTTCCAAGAAACATTTGAAGCTGACGAGGCAGTTGTTGGCGTAATTTTTTCAATTTAGACGCCATTCAAAAATATCAGCATGAACTTTTATCCGTCAACATTGCAGGAGTGGACGGAACATTTAAAACAGTGCCTAAACGTCCTCCTCAATTTAACAAAGGCTGCCTTCTGATATTTCATGTACTATTTAAAAATGTAGTAAGTTTATGATTACAAGTAATTATTTTGTAAGCAATTGGTCAGCTCTTTTTTTGGTGTCTAGTCTAGTGTCCAATTTTATTTACATTCATACCTTATTTAATATTTTATGATCCAATACCTAACTTAATTTTGTCAAGTCTTTTCCAATGGTATATGCATTATGCATTAACATCAAAAATGACCGAAGCCACATATAAGTCATTTTTTAGAGTAGTTAGAAGAGTACTACCATTAAATTATGCACAAATCACTATTATTACGGATTATGAAAGAGCTTTAATGACAGCCGTAAAAAAGTATTTTTCCTGAAAGTAAACTTTGTGGTTGCTGGTTCCACTTCTGTCAAGTAATGTCATGTTAAGTCCTTATGCTTCCTGTAACAATTATAATTATAATTATTTTTTATCTAGTCCGTTATCCGATACTGCCGATGGAGTTTAAAAAGTTTATTCCACTTATTCCAAAATAACCCTGAAGCTAATAGAGTTCTGCGTATGGTAATATTATCTTATTCTAGTTATTATGTTTAAGGCACTTAAATGTATGTACCTAATTCATACTTTTAAATTTTAATGATCAATCATTTTTAGGTTTTAGCATTGCCACATCTTCCTGCAGAAATAAGAACTTATACAAAATTATAGAAATAAACCGTTTCTTATAGTTGCCATATGTGAAATGGCTATAATGAGTAAAATGATTTATAACGGTGTAATATAAATATTTGGATTTTATTTAATTATCAGAAATATAATGTTATATTCCAATGTAAATTCTTAATATAGTAATAACTATTATAAACATTTTCATATTGAACAGTTTTTGTACAACACTAAATCATTTATAAAACCTGTATAGTTAATTATAGGAGCGTATAAAACTTATTAGTCCATGCTATAATTATAGATATCATATCATAGGAAACGTTCTGCGAAGGTACCTCTATTTAGAGAAATCATATTAAATAATAACTTTTCTTGCAATGTACGGTGCAATTGGACGTGTCAAATGTCAAAACGATTGAAAACTGAATTGTGGTAAGTTAAAATTAAATATATAAAATTATAAACATATAAGTACAGAGTTCAGGACAGCTTATTCCAGTGTTCTGAACGAACGCCGCAGTCGTATAATTGTCATACTTTAAAAAGAAATATCAGAGAAAGATTTAGATTCAGAGTTAGAAGCATATCTGTCCATGAGTACTTATATTAAATGGGGAGATAGTAGATTGAGATTTAGAAGATTGAGGCGCGGCAGGTGGCAACACTAATAGCACGAACACATAAACATATTATTAAAATGTCTATGCAGGGGAACCATCAACCAGCCACCAGTTAGCACAGGACAAACTGCAAGTTGTAAGCTGTAACCACTCTATAACCAGTAATCAAAATGTTATATTATTTTTCATGCATCTAAAATCTAAATAACTATTTTTTTTATATAATAATATTCTATGATCATAGGCACAAATTGACTAAATTCTTTGGGGGGACTCAATAGCTTCCCCCTCCCTATAGGCCATATTGCTTAGTACCACAGAATATAAAAAATAATACCAACTACTAGATTTTGAACTGGGGGGACTTGACCGACTTTTGTGAGGGGACTAAGTCCCCCCAAGCCCGCCCCCCCTCCATTTGTGCTAATGTCTATGAAGTACCAATGTACCATAGTCCATAGATAAAATATATGATGTACCTAGTCATGTGGAGTACATGAGAATTCGTAAACATCTCTTTAAACTGTACAATAATAAATTGTTGTAAAGTTACAATATTCAAGTGTTAAGTAACTCAAGTACTTACTCTTTATTCATAAGTGGTTCGTTAAATGATTTTTATTAATTAATATTTATTTTATTACTTGGCTAGTAAGTTGGCCAAGAGTTATTTTTCCCTTGCTGTGTTTTCTTAATCATTTTAAGTAGCTAATGTCATGATATGCAAAATTAGTATTAAATAAATAAAACTGGTTACCTATTTATAATTATTCTATAACTCCTTCAGAATTTCAGATATTAAATATATTAAATTGATTAAATTTAAAACAGAAAATGAGTGTATTATGTTTTAAGTATATTCCAGTATACTATTATCTTAAAACAAGTTATCTATAATTATAGTTTTACTGTAATTTCAGCTAAACATTTTGCTTGCAGAAACTTTAACAGAGTCGGCCACGTGAATAGTGATCATAGACAAAATATAAATATATATATTATATCTATGATGGTGACTATGGTCGATGACCATTCACTAATATTGAGTTTGAATTCTATAGGTTTCAACAATTATGTCAGGTTAGCTCTCAAAACTTCCTCACAATTAAATAAAACACATTCCATAAAAAACCAATTTTTAGATTTTAAATTATGCTGAATTGTACATGTATTAAGACATAGTTTAATTAATTTCAAAATTAAATTTTATTCGTGCAAGAAAATGTATTTAAGACATAAACAAAAAAAAAAAATTATAATGTTCATAATTAATGAAACAAATTTTGCAATTAAATCTATAATTGAATTTAATAAAATAACTATGTCCAACTTTCCAATCTTCTTTGTCATAACTTTTGAGTCGGACACTAAAAGTTAAAATTATGTAAGTAGGTAGTCAATTTGTTTTCGAGTAAAATAAAATGTATTAGGTAATTTTTAGTTCAGTAATAAAATATAAAAATTAGTTGCATTAATTTATTATTTTTAATTTTTACGTGCCATGTCCCAACGGAATACATCTAAATTAGTCGATTTGGTCAAAGAATCATTTTTTATACATTTCAATTTTGCAAACAAGTTGGCTGTCTCGTCATTTTTGCAGAATACCGTGAATTGAAAATCCTGTTGAGCTTTTGTAACAAGTTGAGCAGCATATCCCTTCCTTCGTCTTGATTGAATTGTATACACAAAATCCAGAATATTTGGATTTTTCTGTCGTCTCAGTGGGTCGAAATCGCATTTTGAAAGTAAGAGGATTGATGCAGCAGATTCTTCAGACATTGTTTCATATAAAATTAATACATGCAAGTTACGACTTTTATTTACGGTATACCAACCGATTATAAATTTTAAATCTGAATCGATTTCACTTTTATATTTATCAACAAACTTTTTTACAAAATCAATTGCGGGAACCCCATAGAGTTTTTTGATAGACATTATTGTCAGGTATTTGAAACTGTATTTCAAATTATTAAAACATTACTTTCATAAGCACTTCTAAACTAGTATATTATATTCGTGGGTAATACAATATAATATTATATTATTATGTAATGTAACCTCTAACGTGTTATTTTTTAGTCCGTACGCCGCGATTTCAGTTGTATAACTTGTATAGTAGTTGTACTGTTTGCCGTACCGACGTGTGTATTTTTATTATTTCAGACTTTCACTGTTGAGTATGTCAGTTTGTCAAATGATTACATACAATTACAATTAATACTTTAAAATAAAAACGACTAGACATTTGAAAATTGAAAATTGAAATACTCAATGATAAGAGTCGCCGATGACAAAAAATCCGAAAAATATGGACACCACGATCACGATTTAAGATAGTATGGTTGCCCGACGACCTATGATAAGATCGTTTTAAACTGGAAACCAAATTAAATAACCAGAACAGCTGGAAAATTGACCACTAGCGCTTGCGACATGATGTGTGCCAATATAGAAGCAGAATTTACGAGCTTATTATTTTTTCCCGCGCTTTACTAATATCAAATATGTACCTATTACCACAGTAATACAGAATAAATCTATTATGTGATATTATTCTCAATTCTCATAGATCCCTATAAAAACCACGATTTAAATAATGATAAATATTCCACTATACAATTATAATAACTATCTATTATCTTAGTAAATAGATTTATCGTCCATGATAAATACAAATTTACATCTTGACAAGATATAACAAAAATGTTATTATTCATAAAGTTTTAATATATTATGCTTAATTTTGTTGAAATTATTTAATTGTTTGTCGTGTTGTAATGTCGTGTTGTATACCTAATTGTCCTTCACATGACAAATATGCAAAGATTAGTTCCTTCAAAGTTCCATTGAATATTGTCTTACGGTCTGAATGGGAAAATGTCTTGGGTATTCCTTTAAGTAATAATTCTCGTGTTTGTCGTAACCATTTTAAGACACATGATGTAATAGACACATGGGAATCTGGAAATGGAATAAATAAATACACGGTTAGTACCATTACTTATAAATATATGTATAGTATATTTATGAACTGATACAACTATAGGTAAAAATATAACAGCAATATAATATATTTGTAGGTGTGTCTAAAAAGACCTAGACTTAGAGATGGAGCTATTCCAGTGAATTTATATATTGTTAACAATAATGAGTCGAATATTTTGGTAAGAATTTATAACTAAATAACGTTATGATAAGTTAAATAATAATATAACAACATAAACTCTAAGCATTTTTGTACCTAGTACCTAAACCTAACTAATTTATACAATATTTTATTTAAGAATGAAAAAATAAATAATATACAAGAATGCCCAAACTCTGAATATACTGTGGATACCAAAGATATAATATAGATATAATAATCTTTCTAAAATGAAGGTTAAATATGCAGCACAGGTAAAATAACCAATTTATAAATTTGTAAAACATGTGAAAGATAATATTAATTATTATTTTCTAATTATTCCATAAAATATTTAGCTGTTTAGCATGTCAATGGCCACAGGCATAGAATTTTATAAAAAAAAAAATTTTAATGGGTTTAGTGATTCTGATGAAACTGTCAAGTTTACAATTTTTATGAATAATCTGTTTGATGCATTAAACAGGAAATTTAGTGCAGAAGGAATAAAAAAAAACTCCCACGACATAGAGGTTTTTTGTGTTATGTACTCATGTGTTTGTGTTATGTGTTTGTGATATATGTGTTTAATATTTATTGTATGTGAATAGGTGTAATTAAGGGTTTCATCATAATATGGTTAAAAATCCTACACCATGTTAGATTTTAGATTATATGTTTTAAATATTTTATGAATTAACCTAGGCATGTGTACTTATATTATTTATATGTCAAATAGGTGTTAAAAGAAGCTTTGGCATGGATCAATACTTGGGAATCAAATTTAAATAATAATTTTATAAAAAAGGATGATTTTTTGACACAAGCCACAGCTGATGGTCTCAAAATAACTATTAAGTCAACCATAGATATTGTGGATTATTTATTAAATACTTGTAATTTTATGTATGTTTTGACGGCAAAATTAAACCAAGATCGCCTGGAAGTAAACTTACAAATAACTATACTTACTAACATTTTAAGAAAGAGCATTCTAATAGTTATTGACTTTATTTTGATAGGAGTTTTTTGGTATTATCCGTCAGGTAGCTGGACCAAATGACCATCCATCCACTCCTACATTTCTCCAGCTTTATAGGATGCTGTCTGTATATTCACTTATTAAACCACCTAAAACTGGTAACTGTACAATTTTTGAAGGTAGGTACCAATATGTTTGTATATTCTAACATTATTTTGAATAGGATGTACCTACTTAAAGTAATATTAAATATCTTTTTTAGACAATATTCCAATCATTACAATCACAGATTTAAAAGATGTCATTAATGACCCAACTAATTCTTCAGATAGAATTAATAAGATTGAAAAACTAAAAGAAAAAATTAATTATATTGTAGACAAGGGATGCTGGGATGCTGATGATGTTTTTACTGAGCATAATTATTCAAATTCTACTGTTTTTGATTGTATTGTGTATTATTTAGCCGGGTAAGACATTTTAATATAAGTACCTAGTTATTAGTTAGGTAAGTATTCTCTGAAATAATAAAAATAGATATTAATGTATAAATTGAATCATTTATAGATATATAGCAAAACAGTTAGTGGCACGGACTAAATGTGAATCGTGTAAAATATATTTAAAGAATATGAATACATCTTCAACTGTACCAGCAGCAGAATTAGTGAATGTAAAAAGTAGAGGTTACCTTACACATCCAAACACTAATTTATTTAAATTATTAAAGTCATTGGAGATATCTTTTGAAAAATTTGCTGACTCACCTACAGTTTTTGAAGATACATATGAAGATTTCTTTAGCAAAAATGTCAATATTAATTTTCCATGCATTGAACATCAAACAGATATTATAACAGATATCTGCACATACTATCTGATTATGAGAATGAGGCAATACAGCTATCAACTAAACCAAAACAATAAAAAACAAAATAAAGTTAAAAAAAAACTTTCAAAGTTGGTTAGTACGTGATGGATGGTATTATTAATTTTTTTTTTTTTTGTGTTTCATATAATGTAATGGTATAACATTTGTATTTTGTATACAATTTTTTTTGCTGAATAAATTTTAAATAGTTATTTGATTTATTATTTACAAAATACTAAAGCATAGAAAGAGATTAAAGTATTTTAATTTATATTTATCAAAATTGTTATTAATTACTTACATACTTCTAAGTTCTAAGTCATTCGTTATAATTTTAATCGTAAATCACGAAGAAAATTTGAAATACTAAACAGGCAAACAGCGCGCCAGTGCGCCACTCGCCAGTCGCCACTCTGCACGGTATTTGAGCTTATAAACTATAGCCGCTGTTACATTCAAGCGCTAGTGGTTAATTTTCCAGCTGTTTTTAATAGTGATTTCAGTAAACACTTTATCATGATTCGTTGGGCAACCATACTATCTTAAATCGTGACCACGATTAAAGATAATCTTAGATATTATCTATTTATCTCAATCGCGGTGGTCACTGGTCACAGCCCACAGGTGGGTGTTTATCCAATATTGTGTACATAGGTTGCATTTGTTAGCCCCTTTATATAATTATTTGTATTACAGTAGGTACCTGCCTAATATAAAACCTGGTAAATGATTATCATAAATTGTTTCTAATTAACGTGTATTTTTAAATACTTATTTTTTTAATAATAAACGACTAAACACATTTATTACAAAAAAAGCACTTAGGTCTTGGGTAGTATTGTTCTATGGTAGAAAGTAATTCATATAAAAAACTGCCGTTACTCATTATAGCCTATTATAGGCAACCACTGAATCACGTCTTCCCAATTGCACACTTGGTTTATGAGGGTGTTTTTGACAGCGAACGTGATTTAAGATAAAGACCATTGGGGCCATTGGGCTTCAAAAATATGGCGTCGTTTCCCAACCGGTTTGTCTTAAATCGTGATAAATATTAAATATTGAATTATTAAATAAGCACAATATGTTTTTTGGCCATCATAACGAAGAGCTAAGACTAAGAGAAACGATAGTAAATTCTAATTCGCACAGAAATTTGCTAAAATGTATGTACTACATGTTTATAGTTATTAAATTAATATTTATAAACAAGAATGAAATGAAATGCAAATATGCAATGATGTAGGTAGTTTAGTAGTTAAAAATGGTAACAAACTAACAACTAACAGTTATGTTGACTGTTGGCCAGCGCCCCAACATTTTTAAATAAAAATGCCACATCCATGAGTTTAAAATCAACAGCAAGAAATAACACAATAATAAAACTTAAAAGCCCATGAGTCATTGGTGAAAAAAATAGTCACCACATTTATTAAAAGTTATAATTTTAATTTTTATGTTTAATCAAATCAAATAAATATTAATTAATTAAATACAAAAATGTAAATAAATATTTTATAAGTTAAAAAAATACAAAAATAAAACCGCACATTTCAGAACCTCAGATGTTATGATGAGATTTTAGTTTTTAAGTACTGAAGTCTGAAATATATGTTGTAGCGAATATGATTATATAGGTACCTTTCAATAAATAGCATTTTTTACCCCATTATCGTTAAAAATGTTGACATATTGACTAGTTGAACAAAGTATAGCTTACACCAGGCAAGTTTACAAGAGGGTTCAGGGTTTAAACCCATTCACTCCGAAAATTTATAGTTGTGTAATTTATTTATATATAATATAGACTATAAATCCCCCACCCCCAAAAACTACTACGAACCCCCCTGAATTATTTTTTTGGGTACGCACCTGGCTTACACTATGACTTAATAAGTTATTTAATATTTAGTCAAGACTTAATTTGTATTGTTGGGTACCTACATAACTATTGATTTGACTTATTAGTTGCTCGTTATACAGAAAATAAATTTTTTATTAAAATTACATTTGATAAATAATTGTTACAACCATAACAAAATGACAACTAAAATTAAATATTAAAACTATTATGGACTTATTTTTGAGGTTTGATGAAATTGTACATAATTAGGAATTCTATGTTTAAGCTACAACCAGTTAGTAAGTTTTCTTTTTTACAATGTTTTCACTGGTAATAAATTCCTATAAACTATAGTCAACCAAGTGCAAAGAAAATACTTAGTCACTTATGCATTGTTGCATTTACTATAAGATGTTCTTCATTACTAGACTATTATTAGTATGAGAGAGCTAATAATGTTATGTCCTTTTCAAAGATTATAATATATGAAGCTTAGTAAGGTTTTTTTGTTTAGTGATTGTTAACTTGATAAATTATTATTTTTAATCACAAACTTGTGCTCCTTTTTCATATACCTACATGTAAAATTTCTAATTTTCCACCAAATGAATTGATTGCCACCTACAATTGATTGCATATGAGTAAAAAAACATATTTTTTATATTAATAATTAGCTATTATAAAGAAATATTGAAATATTAAATAGCATTATAATATTGTTAATGAATTAAATAAAATCAAACAAAAGTAAACAGTATATAGGAAACTGTTGTATTTTTAAATTACATACAATTAAATAAAAATATCTATAAATAATAATATTCTATTGAAAACCTGTTCTTAAGTGTATATAAATTAAAAAAATATTTTAACATTACAAGATAAATTAAAACATAAATAAAAAATGAGTATATTAATTTTAAAGAGTATACTTATATTATTTTATTACATACAAATGTTAAATTTAATTTGTGATCTACTTAACTAGTACTTATAGTCCAAGGTTGGTCAGTGTCCGAGTATCCTGATAATGGCAAGTCAAAAGGTAAACTAAAACACGGGAATTTATTTGGTTTGGTTTCATCTATTGAAAATGTATCTGATTCAATCTGCCAAAAAAAAAAAAAAAAACAATATTTAGAATAGAAAATTTAACAGATTAAAAATATATAACTACCAAAAATTGAGGTAAGAACAAAACTCCAGCCTCGTGTGCCATTATGAAGTTACTTTGTTCATCAGACTTAAGTTTTCTGCCCCAAGCAGCTTTTGATAAATTAGAGCTACCCAAATAAAACCAAGACATTTTTGTCAAACATGATGACATTCTGCAATAGGTTTTTATATGAGGCATGGCCTTTGTTCGCTTTCGTGAATGACACTGCCATAAGCTGTAAAACAATGTATCAACATAGAAACTATGTGTAAGAAAATTTACACTTTTCAAGATATTAAAAAATACTTACCACATGTATTTTTTAAGCCACAATTGTTTTTCATGTAAAATCTTATTGTAAGGCAAACAGATACCACCTAAAGCTCCATCCCAACTATTCAAAACATTGTTCACGGATGGGAAGATCTATAAAGTAAAATTCATTATTTAGAGGTTAAATGCTAAAATTATTGCTCATCTAACCAAGTTGAAGGGAATAGGATTATCGTCTGTATCAGCATCACCACAATAGGTAGAAGCAGATAGACTTTCGACAAACTCTGATTTCAACCATTCTTCATCCGTGGTACCCAAAGACCCCAAAGAAGAACATTGAGCTATTATTGGCCATTCTGATGGTTTACCAAATGGTAGACAAGCATGCTTTTTCAAAATATTTTTTAAATATAAATGTCCCCACAGTGGTTCTGTGTGCTTCCCTGGAACACTAGGTATGAAAAACACACTACACAACAAAAAGATTTTAATATTTTTGGTTCTAACTATGATTTTTAATATAATCTTACTTTGCTTGACTGAAATCGACTTTTTCAATTTTTTGTATCCAAGGAACTAATATTGGTTCTCTAAAAGAATTTAAATATCGCAAAATATCTATTTTAAAATCAGTTTTAGAATTACCATCTGACTTATCATCCTTCTCTTTCAATGGAAATGTTTGGCTCACCCAAATCCTAAAATATAAAATGATTCAATCAAAAACAAAACAACAGTAATTATTCTTACCCTTGAGCATATCTGGTCCAATCATCTTCACACAAATTTGCCGACATAACAACTACCCGTAAACTACCATCAGCATAAGCAAACATTGATAATTTACTAAAATTTTCAATAAAACAAAATTTGTAATTAAAATTATTCAATGGTTTTATACGGGATAAAAATTATTGTTACTGACCTATGTTGATGACCAAAAGCATTTTTATTAATAATTTTTTTATGTCTAACATTTAGTAATTTTTTCTCTTTATGTAACTCGTCTATATCTTCATTACAACGTTCATATAAAAGTGTCATTTTTTTCCCCCTGAAAAACATAATTATGTTAATGTACAGTCTAATTATTAAAAAAAAAATACCTTAAATTAGAACTTACTATATTGTACAAACATACCTATTTTATTTTTAAAATTTATTATTTTAAGTAATATAAGCATGGAATTATTCCATAACCCTTTATTTGTAGGATTATCCGAGTATATAATATACATTTTCTAAAGTCGCTGCCAAAAAGAGCATGTAGTTTTTCCTATTAATTAATTTTTGTTTTTATATGTGTCTAATGTGAGACACTAAAATATCTATAATAAATTATGTGCTGCTTTTTATAAAGTTCAATTATAATTAATCAATTTTTGGAAATTGCGTGTAAAAAATAGAACGTACCTATCTGTAATAATTTTTTTTTTAATTTTCCATTCAGAAGCTACTGAGATCAATTTATGAATTCTAAAGCCATAAAATACATTTTAATTCAATATCCTAAACTATAAAATATAGATCATAAGTAACCTAAGCTAAAATATGTAACACATTAGTCATTAATAGGATTCAATAAATTTAAATTTGTTTGGAACCTTTAATAAATTAATAAAAATATAAAATAAACTTGTATGAAGACATTTATTGAATGCAATGAATAAGGGTATATTTCTTAATTTCTTATCTATTCATTAACCTTTTTTTTTTATTCATTCAAAGTACAAGATTTTTGAAAAATAGAAATGTAATCAAATTTAATGCATATCAGTAAGAAAATAGCATTAAAAATCTATTAGCAAATACTATAACTTCTCTATAAAAATTGACATTAGGGCTATTTTTTCTATTTTCTTTTTATTATAATTATTTTAACTTATTATCATATTACTTTTGATCAGTTATGAAATATTGAGCAAAGAGCCAGCCGAGCTCGACCATGAAGTTTAAGTGAAGTGATTCGGTCAAATCACCGAGACTTTTGTCCAAGAGCTCTGAAACAAATAATAATAAAAGTTAAATATTTGATTTTGTGTATTGCTGTTAACACAACGTTATTAACAGCTTAAATTCTATTGGTGTATTAATCCAATATCTAAAAGGATTGCACAATATCTAGGATAGTATTCAATCATCTACATAACAGATTTTATTGCCGGCTGAATTCCGCTGGTTGAGGATTTCGTTATATTTAACCGGTGATTAAAAGTTACTATAATGGCCCTTTGTGTCCGTTAAATTTAGCCAGATATGGTAATACTGGCCCTAAGTTGTTTTCTGCAATACACAGTACCTACCTACTGTATACTGTATACACACCTGCAAATGACAGTGTTGATTCTTCAGTGTGTGTTTCTGGATCACAGGATATCGGAGACATAAATATTCTATAAGGTTCAGACTTCTCCAACTTTTTGTCGACCGTTCCTTTCGTGAATTTCCACACGGCGTCGTTATAATTCTGCGGACCTGGCGGACCTGTGGGCTTGCGCTTCCGAGGCTCAGAGCCAGGACCTGTGGGCTTTCGCTTCCATGACTCAGACCCAGGACCTCTGGGCATTCGGTTCAGAGATCCAGGACCTCTGGGCCTTAGATTTAGAGATCCAGGACCTGTGGGCCTTAGATTCGGAGATCCAGGACCTGTGGGCCTTAGATTTGGAGATCCAGGACCTCTGGGTCTTAGATTCGGAGATCCAGGACCTCTGGGCCTTAGATTCGGAGATCCAGGACCTCTGGGCCTTAGATTCGGAGATCCAGGACCTCTGGGCCTTGGATTCAGAGATCCAGGACCTCTGGGCATTCGGTTCAGAGATCCAGGACCTGTGGGCCTTTGATTCAGAGATCCAGGACCTGTGGGCCTTAGATTCAGAGATCCAGGACCTCTGGGCCTTGGATTCAGAGATCCAGGACCTGTGGGCCTTCGATTCAGAGACTGAGATCCAGGACCTGTGGGCCTTCGATTCAGAAACTGAGGTCCAGGACCTGCGGGCCTTCGATTCAGAGACTGAGAACCAGAACCTGTGGGCTTTTGCTTCGGAGACTCAGACCCAGAACCTGTGGGCTTTTGCTTCGGAGACTCAGACCCAGAACCTGTGGGCGTTTGGTTCGGAGACTCAGACCCAGAACCTGTGGGCTTTTGCTTCGGAGACTCAGACCCATGACCTGTGGGCTTTTGCTTCGGAGACTCAGACCCAGAACCTGTGGGCTTTTGCTTCGGAGACTCAGACCCATGACCTGTGGGCTTTTGCTTCGGAGACTCAGACCCAGAACATGTGGGCTTTTGCTTCGGAGACTCAGATCCAGAACTTGTGGGCTTTTGCTTCGGAGACTCAGACCCAGGACCTGAGGGATTTTGCTTCGGAGACTCAGACTCAGGATCTGTGGGCTTTTCCTTCGGAGACTCAGACCCAGATGCCATTGTTAGGAGTAAGCAGCGGGATTTTGACGGAGCCAAAAATTATAACATAGAAGTTAAAAATTGTGCAATTATCGTAATAGATTTAAAAAAGTACAAACAGTCGAAAAAACTGAGTATCAAAACATTCAAAACAACTTAACAACGAACCACGAGAAAACTGATAGGAAAATAGGAGTACAGGCCGTTACCGCGGCTAGCCGGCGTCACTGCGATACCACAGTTTTCCCGGAATGATAAGAGTGGTTATAGTATTATCATAGGTATTATACAGCGGTTACCATGTGACCGTCTTGAGGTTGTCCTTTCAAAATGATCACGGTTTAAGATATACAGGTTGAACATCGCCCTATGATATTATGCATTTTTCAAGACCGCCAAACTGAGTCTCCAAATCAGCTGTGGAACCACCGACTGGCGCCATCTAGCTGCATTTATGTGGTAACTCAACAATCCAAAACGTACTATGGCAACGGTCGTATTCGTATACTCGTATAGTCGTATGTACTAAACTACTATAAAAATAGTAACTTTTATAGTAACTTCCCTAGTAGGTAGGTATTTATATTTTATTCCATAACAAGAAATGAGAAATACTTCAGAGTTCAGGTAAAAATCTTATAGTTTAATATTATAGTTTTATTCATTTTAAACATTAATTTGTTATGTTTTAACCAATTTTGACAACTTTTTTTTTGTTTTATTTAGTTTTTTATTGGCTTGGTTTTTCATATAACTATATTGTCTCATGCGCATAGTTATGTAGTAAGAAAAAATATTTGTTAGCATATCTATTTGATGTTGACGAATGGTACATGGAAATTTTAAATTTATATTTTTTTTGAAAAATTCTTCAAATGTTTTTTCAAAAACATCATTTGAATTGGCATGTATGGCAAAGCATTCTTCTATGTGTTTAATTATAATATATAAATTACTATTGGGGTAAGTAAGAAATCCTTTTGTCTTCATATTAATTAAATCGGCTTCTTTACCAATTAAGTTTTCTGAAGTGTTAAGAGTTTTCAACCCTTTTATACACATATCACATTTTGTTCTTTTGACTAACCGTCTTGCTATATACCTATTAAAAAAAAATAATCATAATAATAATTAACAATCGTTAAATTATTTAAACTTAAGTAAAATTTTCATCAAAAATTAATATAATTTAAGATATATAGGTATATTTAATTACCCAGCTAAAAAATATATAATACAATCAAATACATTAGAATCGGCATAATTATGTTCTAATAAAATATCATCAAGATCCCAACAATCATCCTCAATAATTTGATTTATCTTTTCTTTTAATTTACTTATTTTTTCTACTCTTTCAGAAGTGTTTGCAGGATCATTTATAATTTCTTTTAAGTCTGATATTGATATGACCGGTATAGATTCTAAAAAGAACAACATGTACACAATTGTTATAAACCTCGTAAGTGGTATTAGATAAATAGCAATAATTTTGTTGAATAAAATATTAACCTTCATTTACTGTACAATTCCCTGTTTTAGGCGGTTTCACAACAGTGTATACAGATAGCATACGGTACAACTGCAGGAAGGTTGGTGCCGTTGGGTGGTCATTTGGACCAGAAACTTGCCTTATTATTCCATAAAACTTCTATTAAGAAAAAAAAAAGAAAGACAGAAATGGTCATAGTTTCGTACTTTGTGATGATATGTAAGATGCATTAAAATAACAATATAGTAAGTACCTCCAAATCATCTTGGTTAAATTTGGCAGTTAAGACATACTTGAAATCACATTCATATAATAAATACTTCACTAAATCTATTGTAGATTGTATTGTTATTCTGAGTCCTTCATATGTTTGACGAGTTAAAAAATATTTTTCTTCAATTAATCCTTTGGATACATTAGACTCCCATTCATCTAACCAGACTATGGCTTCACTCAAAACCTAGAGCAAGGTTGATTAATAATTACTTTATTTTATCAAATTAATTAATTTATCCACAAATCTGTTTTCAAATGATTTTACTGTAACCAATTAAAAAAGTTTATATTCAGTTTTAGGTACTTACCTTATCTAATAAATTAACATTGCATGTATACAGTGTACACACTACTCTAACGCTAATACACTATACATAATATGACATAAATTCATAGCATACATAAATCCTGTTATTTATTACTACACAAAAAACACAAATGTTAACACAAATTGCATACCACTAAAATATATATATATTTACTATTTCTATGACATAGATCTAAATTATACATTATACATATTTAGATATTTTTTCACAGGCCTATAACATAAACATTCCACAATTACATGCAACACTTATTAAAACCTTTAAATCATTATTATCTGGTCTTATTCCTTCTGCTGGATATTATCTGCTGTATATCTTAAATCGTGAAAATGATTCAAATGTTGTTCACACAATGGTCTTGGAGTAAAGAATAATCAGAAAATAAATGCGCGGAAAAACATTTGAATTGCATTTTTTATTTAAGCATAAACCTTGCACTTTAAATTTATAAGGTATAACTAGTTACTGTTTAAGATATTCAGATGGTATATTGTGCTTATGACTAGGTAATCTCATTCAATATTTTACCTAGTATCTCTCCACTCCACAAAAAAAACAAATAAACAATCAAATCAACAGTGGCGTGCGCAGGAAATTCCAATGGCGTTGGGAGGTCATAAGTAATAATACATTTAGCAGGTATGTTTCTTATTCTTTTTTTGTAATTTTAACTACCTATAATGGCATTTGAAATATTTTTATTCATTATACATTGGATTATTTTACACACATTTTAAACAGAAGTGAATATCTTGGCAACTCTTGTAAATTCAAATGCCCAGAGAATAAAAAAGAAGAAGAAGATTTTAGATCAGCGTATCTCAAATTGTGGTACGTGAAAAAATTCCTCTTTATAAAAAAAAAATTGAATTAATCTTTAGTCACATTACATGATATTTGCCATTTAATTTACTTGATATTATCAAGTTTTAAATATATCGACTGTGTGGAGATCACATTTTGTTATAGTAGCAATATTTAAGATAATTATAATCTATTAATCTCTATACACATTACCTACTACAGAGTAGAGACTAGTCTATAGACTATATAATACAATATAAATTATAAACCGAATATCGATACATTTTGGTACCTACATGAATATTTTCAAACTGTAAGTGGAAGGTACAAGGATATGAAAAGTTTGAGAACCGCTTTTCTAGATATCAACCGAGCATTTTGTTTAAATTTGGCAAAGATAATAAAACGATTTAAAATATCCAACTTAATTTTTTAAAGAATTAATATCTGAAATAAATTGCTTAAATGTCATATTATTTCCAAACTGTTTACGTTCTAGTGCATTAAATAATAGTGCAAGAAAAATATTGTTTAATGAAGAACTAAATTCTGGCGGTAAACGTGGGATAAAAGATATTTATTTAATTATATAGGTACCTAACTCTTTTAGAACGGAATGTGTCCCTAAAGCGAATAGTCTCACACTCTCACAGTCTTCAAAATACAAAAAATATGGATTTATAGTTTTATTAGTTTGATTTATTATTTTTTTTCCCCAACTTCACTTTGAGCAAAATAATTTATTATATTTTTTTTTTAGTATAAAGTTCATTTAAGTAAGAAGTAACTATTTGGTATAAGTTTTTTATTCAAAAAATAATTAAAATAATTAATTTAGTGGTATTATTTTCTACAGATTTTAAGATTTTGTAATTGTCTTTTACCTCATGTACAATTATATTTTTTCTAATTGGATTTTCTTTAGGTCAAATAAAAACACCCATTTCTTCTAATATATTAAAACGCACGAGTTCAGACTTAAGATTATTAATTTGATTATTTACAGCATCATACATTTATGATTTATTTGACCTAGAACCACTATAACAACTAGACATTTTCATATTTAAAAGAACTTAATTTTTTTAAATATTCATGTAGCTCTCATTCATTAAATGTATGACATTTATTAAATTGATTTAATATATTATTAAAGATTGAACCTTATTTCTTGGTAATGTATTACCTACTCAAAAATTTACCATTTTGATAAAAATTTAATTGTTTCAAAAGATACTTTTTTTTTATATTCATCCAAAACATTTTCAGAACTTTCATGACCCAAATCTTTTTAACTGATGTTATTTAAGTGTACATTATTAAACCCATTAATTACTTGGGAGATATTTACATTGTGTAAATTTTCTTATACTTTGGTACTTATATATAAAAAAATTGAAGTGGCTTTTTATATGTTTCCCATATGAATTCTTAGTACTACATCTCCTAACATATAATTGGTTCGACGCATCACACATATGAATCTGTTACATTATCAAAAGAATGAAAAATCTTAAACGTTTTATAAAATGTAAAAATGTAGAGAGTTCATATCTGAACAAATAAAGCATCTCATGTTGTTAGATATATTATGTTGAATTATAATAAATATATTGCTTGAATTAAGTAATAATAAAGATATTAAGTACAAAAAATATATATACTTGTATAGTTGTATCGAAAAAGTATATCAATTAAATTATACATCTATCTACTGTTATAGATATTTATTAAGTATTTAGTTGATTTAATCCTGGGCCAACAAACACAATACCTATGCTGTCTGGTTTATCGACTTATTATTTTACAGCACACGTTTACTGTGCTTAACAGACCCACAAACAGTTTTAGTGTAGCTGTTATATCTTTACCTTAAATTGTTAAATTTATAAAATAATTAGGTATAAATTACAATAATTTATTTTAAATATTACCTACCTATTTTCTAAGTTTGATTAATTTTGCCGGTATTATGATTAATAGATTTTGAATAGAATAATGATTTTATTATTTTTTTAATACCTACTATTTTGCATGTGCAATATTGTTCCACTTATTACTTACTACTTACTAGTTACTGCACCATTGTGTTTTTATAATTATATTACCCACTGGCCATTTATATATTTGTTATGTTGTAAGTACTTATCTAAGATTAAACAACATTATGTTTAACTAATAAAACTATCAACTATTTTGGTTTTCGTTCATTAGTGTAAGATGGAAAATGTTCATATTTGGTTCATAAGTTTCAATATATTTATATACCTAATTGTATTTTAAATAAATCATTAGATGAATAAAATAAATATTCTATGTTTGGGTATAATCCATTTAAATCTAATTCGATCTAAATACATTAATAATTTCATAGCATTTATAGAAATAATACATTTAAATGTATGTTCATCTAATGTATTATAATTGAGAATAATTTTATAATATACTCAATGATATTTCCTATATTTTATTTTTTATTTAAATTATTATATAACTATCTGCCACTTTGTTGCCCGTAATTTAAACTATATTAACCTTATTTTTCTGTGGTATCATCAAATACGAGAGGCATATCAATCAGACATTTTTAAAAAATATATTTCACATCATAACCATATTTTTTTAATTAAGCTTGATTTTTAGTAAATTTGGTGCCTCAGTGATTATATTGGATATAGCTTAAGGTACTTTAGAGTAGATTATCAAATTCTGTATATTATTTTAATATATATTTCTTTAAATACACAATAAAAACTTATTTAAAAATTATTTAAGCTTCTCAAAGTTTTATTTAAATATTTATTAAATAATAATTAAAAGGAAAATTAAGGATGAATGTCTTAATTTTTTTTAAGAAATTGTTCGTTTTTTTTTTTAAAAAAAAAAAGGGAACACGAACAACTTCATTTTTTACGCATGGGACAAATTAAATTCTTAAGTGAACTTTCCAAAAACTGTTTTTTTCTCGATAAAATATTATTTATACAGCATCTTGTTCTTCTCATGTGCTAGTTAATTGTATTCATAACGTGCTGTAATCATTGTGAACATTTATTAATCAATAAGTAGAATTAGGTACTAATACCTAATTATGTATAGTTCAAATTACTCTCAATTTTGCTCGAATTTCAGAATGATTAAAACAAATCGTGAACGTTTAAAATAACAAACGCATAGCAATAGAATATTTTTAATGATAAAAGGTAAATCGTAAAAAGTACTAATCATGTTAAAACTTGTACTTTTAATAACACAAAATGATTGATGTATCTTATCGAATAAGTATTCACAATATATGTTGCTACTATACAGAAAAGCATACCTACCAATATTCTATAATATAATGTCAAAAATAAAAAGACAATAAAAAATATAAACATAATAAGAAATCATAATAATAATAAATGGTAAAAACTCCACACAACAAAATAATACAACTTCCCACGTGATGGGCTTTTAATAAAAACAAGTCCTTCTAAATCTTCCTATAGTTTGATGGCGTTTATGGTCTTCACTGAGGTGGCACCCGATTTTCTAGCGGCGTTTTTGCCACTAGTGCAGTGGTCCGAGCACACGTTCATTTGGACGGTGAGGTTCTCGATCTGTGCCTCAAATGCCTGCGTCCTCCTGAACATTTGCACGTAGTTCATCTGAAGCTGCCTTTGGTAACACAACACTTTCTCCTTCTCCTGGAACCACTTCAGCCTCTCCTGGTCCCAGTTCTTTCGTTCCTCGTTCAGCACCCGGATCAATTTGGCCGTGTGCCGTTCCAGTTCTCTAAATCTCTCCAGTGGTGAATCCGCCACGGTGTCCTTCTTCGGAAACAGCGAATGCAGGTCTTCGGTACTGTAGCATCCGGACAATAATTTGTTCGATTTGCTCAACTCGTTTTCCACCTGCGAATATGTAAAACGTTTCGATTAAATTACCTACTATAAATATTCATTTAGGTGATATTGGTACTGTCGATCACGGCTTACGTTACTATATATAGGTACTAGTAAAAATGTCGGTATTATAAATAATAATATTGTCGTGAACTCCAAACTCACAGTGTTTGAGTTGTAAAAGCCAAAGTTTACGATCTAACAACTTACTTGTTCGTTGAGTCGTCCGACGAGCGAACACAGTTTGTCTGCCGCCAATTGGTCATCGCAACAATTGCCGTCACCGACATTGTCGCTGTCACGCCTTTCCGGACGTCTACCCTCAATTTCGTCAATACGACGTTCTTTTGATTCCAGCTTTTGTAACAGGTCTCGGATTTCCGATTTCAACGCTATCACTTCGTGGCCCTTTGTCGTAAGTTCGTTCTGAAAAATACGACGAGTATGATAATGTAGTGACATGTAGTATGCCTAATGTAAAACTCTTTATATATGTATTTATTCGGGGACTGAAGTGCCGATCGCCACCTCTTAATCTAGGTTTTTTTTATTTGTACATAAACAATTTTGGTTGTATTGAAGTAGGTATATTTTAAGAAATTATCTTGTTTCTTTTTTTGTTATTTAATTATGATAAAGTGACTGTATAGTAGATAAATAAACAGTTAATTTTAACTTTTATGTAATAATAAGTTACTAAAATTTAATTATGTACAATTTAATGAATTTGAAAAATAATAATACTTGTATTTAAGTACCTAATTTAGTTATTTACCTATAATAGTTGCAAATTATTATTACAAACCATTTGTAAAATGTAAATTAGACTATATACTATATAGATTATAGATATTATCAAATGTTAAAAATTCAACTCCCTCACCCCTGAATTAAGTTAGGTACTTCATACCCATGAACACGAGTGTATTCTAACGGGTTTTTGTAGCTTCTAAATTTCTTATATTTAATAACTTACTTGAGTATCTTTTAGTTGTGATTTTACGTGAGCGAGTTCTCCGGACTTTTGACACAGTCCCCATTCAGTTTCCTCGAGTCTCACCTTCAATTCGTCTACTTCTTTTTTTAAATCCGTCGACTCGGATTCCAAACGCTCGTTTTCTTCTTGTAATTTCTTTTTTTCATCCTGCAACTGATGTACAAGATGATTAGATATATATTATACATCAAACGGTACGATAGTATTATTATTTTGCATACAAATATATTAAGCATCTCTATATATATTTACCTTATACGTCTGCATCATGAGCATCTGTTCTAGCTTCAGTGACTTTTGAGCGGCCGTCTTGAGCCGATTTTCGCCCATTGCTTTGATCCTCCGCATTTCTCTGTCCCACGCGTTTTCTTTCTCCTGGTAAACTCTGAAGATCACTTGCTCGTTGTGCTCCATCGTTTGCCGTAGGTGCCTCAATTCACGGTCCCTGTCTCTCAACACTGTTTCCATTTCGGACAACATTGTAGATTCGGACGGCGAAGGGGTCAAGTCTAACAGACTAGCTGACCCTTCGGATGCCGAGCACCGTTTACTGAGCCTTGCAAATGACTTCGAACTAAAAATAAAATAAAATATTTCACGTCAATGCGTAAGTATATACAATATTAGCACCATAGTGTTCCATACCTAGGTCGATAATCTCTATAGGAACTGTATGAAGAGGATGATTTGAAATCGTCTTGCTGCCCCAGCCGAAATTTGCAGCTGGTTTGAGCCGGTAACGACGACATCACCATTGGCGAAGCTGAACGAAGTTTTCGATCCAACGTGCCAGAAGATATCATATTTGGTTTCTTAGATTGATGGTGCAGTTCATTGGTACCTATAGTATATTTAAAATATATATGTAAAAACGAAAAAGTCACAAAATAGTTTAGATTTGATTCAAAATGTATAGGTACTGTTAGTTTAAATAGTTACACATTCAAATGTATACACAATAAAAACCGTGTATAAAGGTATAATTTAACACTCACGATCTTACATAATGTTGTGAACTGTGAAGTGAGAAATAAGTTGAACATTTCTGGTAAACTATAACGACATCCGTTTATAAATTACTCTAGTTTAATATATTATGTAAGTACAACCAAATATTTAAAAAAAAAAAACGAATAAATTCTAAATTAATAGTATCAATGCAAATTAATTATATTTTATGGTCTGTGTATATCGATCTCGCCTGTGGCCGATTGGACCGGTTGCTAAAATATGTTCCAGTATAGAAAGACGAGAGGCACTCAATTTGATTCCGGGCGTTGGGAATTTAATTCGCCGTTTTATCAAATTCAAGTCGGTGTCAAACTGCTGTTAGATTTTAGGTATGTAGGCGAGTCGAACGGAGTAAAAAATAAAAAACATCTTCGAATCCCGAATAGTGACCTCAGAAACATCTGCAGATGCAGTGGTACTGCGCGGAATAGTCGTATAGACAAAAACCGTGTTGAAATTACGACATATTATTATACATAGTAAAGGATACTACCTACTACCTAGGTACATAATATATATTATATACTATACATAAATTATAAATTTAAAAAAAAAAACCTAGAAGTCACTCTGCTGTATAGTATGTTTTTAGTGTACCTCGTCATTGAGATGGTAGGAGGTCACTGTAATGGATGTGTTAAATTTGAATTCAATGATAAATCATTACAACCGAAAAACGACTCCGCAAGATGAGAAGGTGTGTAATTAGTCTCTATTTCTAAGGATATTTTAAATAATTAAATGTATTTATATTATTATTATTCATTAGTAATTCATTTTTCTATTAGTATAGTATTATAGTGTGGTATGTTGAACTAATCTTTGCCAAAAATATCATGAATTATTATTTATTCAAAACATTTAAAAAGTAGAGCTTTTCAAATCTATATAATATATTAATGCGCAACTACGCAATCACTCTTTTTGTTAAATCCATAACTCCACCAATGTACCTACATAGACATGATAAATAGAATCGTATCGAGAAATAGATCACCCCCCCTCCCTATCAACACCCACCAAACTACCAAATAGATCTAATTTTCTACTAGAAACCACACTAAACAATTGAGCATTTTAACAGCTGCAAAAAGTGATAACAGATTCAAAATAAAAACAACAACACAATCATTGTAAAACCACTGCATCCATCATCGTTCAGCTTAAATAACCGTTGTCCGTTGAAGTTCTTTTTTGTAAAAATACCTACTAGTTAGGTGTATAAATGTAATATGTATTTAATACATATAGGCGTTCATATCACGTCGGTCTTTCGAGTGTCTGTTATTATATTATATGAGCTTGCAAACGGCTATGAGCGCAGAAAAATCTCATTATATGTATTATATATATATATATATATATATATATATATTATATAAATGTACTTACTGCCGTATAGATGTCTGTGCGAGGATCTGGCCAGGATAGGCGTGGAGCCATATCTTTCGCCGTTGTCGGTGAATCTCATTGAACCCGGCTTGAAGGCCACTGGACGAATAACACTGTTTCCCTGCAATAAAACGTCCAGAATGAGTATAGATATATATTATAATATATAGGTAGGTAGACACACGGTAAATAATATTTCGATTTATTATTATCGTATAGGTACCTATATACCTATATACTATACGATGTTTCTATACGATTTGAATAATTCGTCGGTTAGGCAGTAGTTATGTGGATGAATTATTATATATTATCAAATGGGTATATACTACAATGTCCTGCACATAATACAATACTATTAGATATACGCATGCATTGACTTACCTATTATGACGTTGAGAGAGAAAATTTGATGTTATATTATATTTTAATTATCCATTTTATCGTGAAAAATGACAATAGTGTATGGTTTTACGCGGGAAAAAGGTCAACGGTTGGTTCACGCGTTTATTGCAGTATAGTAAAATAGTTCGTAGTTAATTGGGGCGATTGTAAACTCCGCCAGAATATCGGTCAAGATAAAAAGGTAATAATAGGTCTATGGTAAACTCCGCCAGTTTTTTTTTCTTACCAGTAATGGGTATATCTAAACTACGCCAGTTTTTTTTTTTACCTGGTCAGTTAACTTCAGTTCCAACTTCGCGATCTGAAGTTATTTCTTCGCTTATTCAGATGGCACCAAAAACGATCAGAGATGAAAGTTTTTTAAATCGAACAACAAATGCCTGTGAATCCTTTCATAGTCATCTGAGAAATTCATTTTATAAAAGTCATCCGAATGTTCACATTTTTAGTAAAGTTCTTATCGAGTTTCAAACCCAAACTTATATTAAACTAAATGGCATATCTCAAGTAAATCAGCTAAAAAATTCGAAATCAAAAAAAAAAATGACAGTATTACAGGATGCTATGAATAGGTATACTAATAAAGAAATACAAGACTTAGAATATTTGCAAATTGTATCACATCATTATAGTTTTCATACATGACAATATTTATAACGATTATTTATTAATTATTTATTATATTTTATTATATTATGTGGACGATTATTTATTTATTGTTTTTTGACTATGATTTGTGTATATTTAATGTTGACAATTATTAATTATTATCATGAAAAATATGATTTGGATTATTTATTATGATTTTTTATAATATTTAAATATTGATATGATATGATATGATATTATATTATAATTTTTTTTTAATAATATATCATATTAATTTTATACTACTATTTGATTTTCTTCACTGGCGGAGTTTACATAAACTAAATTTTACCTGATATTTTTCAGTGGCGGAGTTTACATGAACCCAATTTTACCTGTTTTTTTTTTCTGGCGGAGTTTACAGTAAAAAAAGGTACTTGTGGCGGAGTTTACATGCGCCCGTTAATTGATTGCAAGTTAATTGCATAATATATTAAGTATAGACGCACCTATTTAAAGGTTATATTGGTACCCGTACTTAAAATAATCATAAGTGCAAGGTATACACTATAATTATAGAATAACGACAAAGAAATGTCATGCACATTTGACGTTTACTTGCGATCGTAATTTTTCATATGAAACTTTTGAACCGTGCAATTGAGGACTCTAGTTTCAAAGTGTACATTATCCATGCTTCATGAAAACTGAGATAGATATCGTTGTCAGCGCTGAATTCGCTGAATTCGAATAACTCACTATTTCCGAGCAAAATGATCAATTTCCAGTGTATTTTAAGCTTGAAAATTGCATTTAGTTTCAAAACGTACAAATTCCTTTGACATTTTTATTGGTTTTTTTGGTTTTCTGAAAATTTAGTGAATATGGAGAATGTACACTTTGAAACTAGAGCCCTCAATTGTTTAATATAACTCAAATTAATTAAATAATTCTTTAAAAAAAACATTACGTATATACTATATTATACTTAAAACGCATCTAATATAATATATTATATACACAATACACGTGACCATAAAAAATAGATTAAAAGATAGTAGGTTAGGTATACTTGTGTGATTTTTTTTTTTTTGATACCTTAGGTTGATTTTACATTTAATTAATTAACTCGAAAATACTTATATTATGTATATACTCATTAAGTAATATGTATATGATAGTATATCAGTATATGAATATTCTTTTCGACATAAATAGTCGTAGGTAATATAAGTATACTTATAACAGCCGATATGATATATCTAATCTTTTAAATGTTGTTCTTCCGGTTTCGCATAACGTTCCCGTTTTTCGTTTGTTGCAATCTCCGTACGACGTATAATCCTATACATATAAGTATATAACATATAATATTATCATTATATTCTCTCTGAGCATGTGTTTTTATTTTTCAACTTCGGGCGCGTGCGGAACACCGCCTCCAAATCAAGTTCCGGTTTTTCTTAATTTTTTTTCTCTTTTAATATTAATAATTGAACTCAAATAAAAAAAAATTGTATAGATACATATTATTAGTATTATTATACTCATATAAATATATATATTATGAATAATATGCGCCATCGTCGTGCGACCGGCACCCCGAGGCTCGTATAGCAAGGTTGTAATTTCGACCGATGGACGTTTTATTAAAGTGGAAAAACAAAATTTAAAAAAAAAACGCACATACACAGCCGTCACGCCGGAGGCCAAGCGCGTCTAAAGTGTCTTTAAAGCGATTGATATGGTGCCGGTCTTGTGCAAGATTCAGATACAGGTCAGAAACTCAGACCTATACGAACGCTGCAGGAGAGCATTGAAAACGTTCGTATATTATTCTAGGGATAAATGTAGATCAAAGATTAAGAAAAATAAATTAAGTAACTCTGTACACGCTTTGACGCTTTATCGTAAGTTTATACATTAATTATGATATATTATATAATAGACACCCATATAATAAAGGTACAGCTGATTTAAAATGATGACGTATATGGGTTCTTTCCTTGCAGTAATTATTATGATCCACGCAGGCCCGCACAGCGATGACTATTTATTGTGTTGATATATTTATAATATATTTTATGCGTATATAGGTAGGTAGTGGTACTTTAGTACTTGCCACTTGGGCAGATAGTTTACCACGTGCATTAATTATATATTATACCAGTTTATATATCTACTTCACGATACCGTGCAGAGAAGTGTAGAACTACGTCATGCTAGAACGGTTATCGTTTAGTACCTATACAATACACAAATTATATTATGCATATAATATTATTACGAGGATTTCGTAAACTTAACTCTAAAGTCCTGCAAACGCTATTGAATGGGTACTGAATCTATTATTATTGTGTACAATGTGTTACCTGTACTTTAACATAATAATAATATTATCTTAATGTCTTTACTGTAATACTGTTTAACTCTAAAGCATCTACTATAGCTAGGTAAGGCTAATATTATGTTTTAATAGGCTATATTGTCAATAGTTTATTGTTAAGCCATACGAACGAGTAATATAAATACTTATCACTGACTGACTAATTTTGGCCTCCACACGAGTTTTCCTCAGTGAGGCCCATTAATCTTTCGATATTAATTTAATTTAAATTAAAAAAAAATAACAATAATAACAAATAAAATGTATTAGTTGATGTGATTTTATAAATACTCAAATTTTACTTATACAATTGGGGGAGGGGGGGGGTCCCCAACCCGGGAATCTTTCACCTCTCGATTTGTAAATTTGTTAATAATTGTCTGAGTGCAGTTTACAAATAGTAATTTTGTCGATTTCTCCGAGTCATCGACATTCGAGCCTTATAATTATATTATATAGTCTATATAGATAAATCACGGCGTGACGACGGTTTCAACCATGATTATATATCAGTGTAGTACGCATATGTATATCGCAATAAAATATATTTTATTAGGCGATTTGTCGAAGTCAAGTCGTGTAGTAGAGTTGCGTAAAACGTTTTTTGCTCATCGATGAATTTATTATCTTGTCCGAGTTGTGACGACCGCCCTGCACCAACGCCACTAATATTATAACAATCCATTACGACAAACGTCTAAGAATGTAACAGAACAATGACTTTATGACTTGTATTGTAATACCCATTTAATATTATAGTAAAAACCGCACACACACAAACGCGCGACATAATTAGTGTATTATTTCATTGCATTCGCAGTTATACATTGTATATATTTGTAATTACCCTTCTAAAAAATAAAAATAAAATTACATTATATAATAAACCTTTGTTGTCAATTTGTGAAGAACATATATGTCACCTGTCCGAGTTATGTGCATATTTCGATTGTCTATGTTCATTCTCGGATGACGGAAGTACATCAAATAGAAAATATCATATCACAATTTTCACTTTCATTTTTTTTTAGATAGTTATCGTGAGCATTTCTCGATGGCACCAAAAAATGATTACCTACTTATTAATCTAGCCATATTATCTTATATAGAAGAAAGAACCCAATGCGGCAATGCACCGTCAAACGAAATAACTCATAGATTTTTTTTTTTAAATATTTTGTAAGACAATCTTAGTATCAAATTATTTAAGTCTCGTTGGCTTACTTTACATAAAAATCATCAAAAAATCATAGGAAAAACTAAAATAAAACTGCTCGATGATTAATATGTGTCTATACGATTAATTTTTTTTTAAATTTCCATATAAAACTAAAAAAAAAAAGGTGGGCAAGTGGGTGTCGCTCTGCTGTACAGTAGGTTACAAGTGGGTCACTGTATAATGGATGGTATTAAATTTGAATTCAATGATATAATATCATTGTATAAGAAAAACGATTCTGAGCGGTGATGGTATGTCAGTCTATGTATAAGGCATATTATATACATATCTATGGTATTAAACAAAAAATTGACCTATAATAGGTACCTATAATAAATTCCAAATTAATCATATCACAATATCCATTAGATACTTATAACGCGTTATACATCAACAAAAACCGTGATACTATCATAGATATATAATAGTACACTTTAGAAGTTTCAAGTACCCACGAATAGTATTATTCAATCACAACAAAATAACTAAAATCGTAATTCTTGGTTTAAATATGAAATTTTGT